GCACTGTAAATTTAAGAAAGGACAAGTTGTTGACTAGCTCTGCCCTTAATTTTTTTTCTGCCAACTAGTCAGAGAGCAGCAGAGTATATCTGCACTTACTAGTTTATTAAATGGGTGTTGAGCCACATGCCATTATGGAACTGAACCATGATCTTCTTGATGTTGATTCATGTTGTGGACTTCAAGATAGCAAAACTTTTTCCAAGATTTTAATCTTCATGCTTCAGGAGGCTGATAATATTTTTCGAGGAATGCTAGGAATATCATGTTCTAGTTGCACAAAGGAGACCATTTTGGAGTTGAAGAATACTTCAAAATGGAAAACTATGAAGCCACTGATCAAGTCTTATTTGAGAAGTACACTATCTCTCCTCAATCAAGTTATTGAGTCTGAGATACTTGCCCTCTCCTTGGCTCGACTCAGAGCCTCTATAATATGTTTTGCGCTTTTCGTCCATTGCTGCACAGATTGATAAAGGTATTATATTCTCTGTGATATGACACTTCAAATATCTATGTTATTGGCAGTTTTATGATAGTAATTAATTTTAGGATATGATGAAGGAAAGTTAATATTGTCTTATATTAGTGTTTGTACTTTACAGTCAGCATAGAGGGTTATATGTTTCCATCATTATGCACCCAATGTTTTAATTACTAATGTATGCGGGGATTAGGAGAATACAAGAGGATGATGAATCTTGAACGCTAGCTGTATCCATATCTTTTCTCATAAGGATTCTGTCTTACTTTCTTTTTTTTTTATCTCATACCTTGTTGCCGCAGAAATAACTCTTAATTTTTTTTTTCCACTCAGCAATAACTCTTCAAATTGATTTCAGGTTGCAGTTCATTTGTGGGTAACAGGTGAAGGGACTCTTGCCTCACATTCTTTCCTGGTCATAAAAGATGTGGCTTCTGTGTTTAGCTCAGATTGCTTCAACTCATGCTTGATTGAAACATATAAGGCCTCTGTTGGTAACTGCCAATTTGTCGATCCAGTTTCATCCAAACATAAACAATTTCTCCACAGCTCCTTTATTGAGCTATGCTCTCAAGATGTGCAAAACTCATCTAGAAAGACAATGGTTTGTGTTGAGCAACTTTCTAAGACACTGCAAACTGGTCTACAAACAAAGAAGAAGTTAGGTGATGCAGATGCCTTTGGTGTCTTATTTAACTCGATCAGACTGGATTGGGCATTCTTTGCTCGTTAAATTAGATGCCTATGGATATATGTAGTTCATTATGACTTTGATGTTTTTATGCAAGGCCATGTTTTGATGGTGCTTGTTTGTTATTGCTTGTAAGCAGGAAGCAGTCAAAAGAATATCCAGTTGGCAGTATACAAACTGCATTGATCTCTGGGTTTCATTTATATCAGCAAACATACAAGATTATGATCTTCAGCCATTGTTATACATGATCATTCAGATTATCAATGGAGTAGCTGTCTTGTTTCCTGAACGAAGATATTTGCCTCTTAAGACTTACATGCATTCAATGATTGAATAATCTTTCTAGTGCAAGTGGGTTTTCATTCCTGTTGCAGCATTTGCTTTGGAAAATTTGGAATATAAAACTGAAAGGGAAATGAAAAACCTGGAAAAGATTTCAACTTCTCTTCAATTTTGAAGGTTAGAGATTCGTCATCATTATTACTATGAATTGAAATATCTCTCGGCCCTTGGCCACAAGATCCATGCATTTCCGCTATAACTAATGTGGATGTTCATGGTGCAGTTGCCAAAACATTGGTTAAAATCTCAAAACTTCCAGAAACAGTGTTTCTTTTGTCATTGAATTACTTGCAATGCATTTTGCTTGGTGGAGCTATCACATAACTTTTCCTGAACTGGCTACCATTCCCCTCATCCGCCTAAGGAAGTTTCATGAAATGACAACCATTGAGAATTTCTGTCATGTGGTGAAGCGATTTATCGATCAGGTACGGATTTTTATGAAGTTCATAGATGTTTTTTGTTGAACCAGATCTGCCTTATTAGCAAACCCCTCCTCCCTGAAAAAATAAAATAAAAATGCTGCCTTTTAAATCATGTTATGATGATTTTGGCACTCAACTATAGTATACTTAAAAATATTGATTGATAGTAAGTAAGATGTTTCATTATGCAGTGTACTGGCAAACGGATACTTTTGAAAAAGAAAAAAAGAATTGCACAACCAGCTTTGAAAAAGAAAAATAAAATGGAAAAGAGGAAAAAGAATCATAAAATTTTTATTTTTTTTCTGGTGTTGTAGGTGGAGCAGGACATTGAATTTGTACAGAGGAAAAGAGATGAGGTGGCATTTTACCCAAAGATCACCAATCTGTTGAATCGTTTGTGCAGTTTTGTATTCTTCATTTAAATTATACCTAAGTTATCTAGAGCTATAATGACCGGAATTTCCCGAACTTCATAAATGGTTGGCATGCAGTTCGGAAAAGTCCAGTGCTAATGCTCCATTTACACGATATTACAAGAGAATAATGGAGAAGGATGCTTCCAGGAATCTGGTTCTGGATCAGAAGATAAGGTGCCATTATTTCTCTCTGACTTGGCTCTAATCTTACATTGTTTTGCATTTGAGGATGGGAAAGGAGCGATGCCTTTATGATTCTGGTGAATCCCAAGTTATTATTTATTAACACTGCAATACCACGAAGTAGCATTTCATAATGCCGAAATTTATAGTATCTTGCTGCATTTAGAATTAACCTGTTATTAGTATTACAGTTCCTTGTTCCATGTGGCTGCTAATGACGAAGAAGGTTCAGAGGAAAAAAGGGTAGATTTGTCGATTGATAATGGAAGAGACGATGGAATAATGAGAAAGAAAAGAACAACCTAAGATTGGTACTTTTTTATTGCCTCTGCTTACTAATATGTATGAATTGCTAATTCCTTCTCAAGTATTTAGTGTACTCCTAGGGCTTTATGATTTCTATTTGTAGAGCAGAATTTCAAAGGAATAATGCAATTTCAATCGGTATAAAAGAACTGATACAATATTTCTTTTTTTTTTGCTTGCTAATACAAAACCATGTGCCATTAAATAGGAAAATATCTCTTTTTTTGTAGTAGGGGTGACAGGGTTTGGATTAAATTGAATTCGATTCAATTTTTTTAAAATAATGTATAAAATTATAATTGAATTTTTTAAAATCCATCTTAAATTCTGAATTTAAATTAAATTTCTATATGTCAAGATCAGTTCGGTTCAATTCAATGGTTATTTAAAATTATTTTTTTATTTTTTATATATTATTTTAATATAATTTTTAATATATTTAAATAAATTCAGGTATAAAATAATTATTTTTATTTTATAAAATTTTAAAATATATATAAATTAACAAAAATATAATTTGTCTGATTTGATTTTTTTTTTTTTTTCACATCTCATTTTGAAATTCAATCCAAATTTAATATAAACATTTAATATTCAAATTTAATTAAAACTGAATAAAAAATTCGATCTAAATTAAATACAACAGTTTTGAATCGATTTTTTATTTTTTTGAATTTTTTTTCTCTCACCTATCTTGAAGTATAGGCTTTCTTTCCATGGCTGGCTTCAGACTAGAAACTGAAGATTTGATAAAGGATTGAGTCCGACGGGTCGGGTTCTAATAATTCATGAAAGAGATTTTCATATTCTCAAATTCAATTAGATGCCAAATCTATAAAGCTACTTTTCGTGGCTATAGAAAAGATGTTTTTGTTCAAATCCTTTCATTTGAGGGAATTGGTTGGTCGTACAATAACAAGTATTATAATATATAGTCTTCGATGAAAGAAACAAAACACACAATAAAATAATTGAGACAATTAATATTCATGATGCAAGCAATGCTGTATTAGATCTAAAGGTTATTCTTGACCTAGCTACAAGGATGGGACTCCAAAATATTGAAAGAAAAAATGTAGAAACCTAAAAGGAAAACAGCTCAGGAATTACTAGTTGGTAAAAGTTAGGCTTGAACATCAAGTAAAACATGTTTTGTATGGGACAAAAGTTAAGGGAATCTAATCTTGGATTATCTGTTGGTTTAGATTGTTTCATTGTTTATTTATTTATCGATTTATTAATTTAAATATAAATTAAATTTTAATAAAAAATTATATATGAATATGATAAAAATTAAAAAATATATTTTATATTTAACGTGTTAATATAAATTATAATATAATAATTTTTATATTTTATATATATTAAATACAAAATAAACAAATAAGATCTATCCCTGATGAAAGGTGGTAATGTTGAAACTAACTAAACTGTTATGAAGATGAAAACTTTGTTATTGGTAGTTGGAGACTTGGTGTTGAAGTTAGAGGAGATACCCTTGCTTATTTCATTGCTGATTAAACATTTGGTCTGTTTTTGAATCTCCTTTCCGTTGCTAAAGCAGGACATGTGAAGCACTAAAAGTATGATTTGCAAAATTTGGTTCTCCTTTCCTTTTTGACTACAGATTTTTTTTTTTTTTTTAATAATAGTAATACGTTAATTTTTTATCGTATACAAAATATTTAATTCAATAATTAATACATTAATTTTTTATTTATAAAATTATAATTCGAATCTAAATTTAAATTCGATGTAAAAAAATTCATCCTTAAAATCATCCAATAAAAACTGAAGGATAATTTTAATTGTATTAAAAAGAAAAAAAAAATTTCCACTATGAATTGAAGTCCTTTAATTGAAAGAGTTAACTAAATACTTAAGTTGATAATTGAAGATTCAAAAACTGAAAAAAAAAAATGTAGGATTGAATTCTATGATCTGTGTTAATATTTTATTTTCTTTAAAAGGAAGAATAAAGAACATAGTACTTGGCAATTTCTTCATGCTTTTAACAGAGCAAAAACTATTTGAAACCATACTTATCTCACATTAGAATTAGATATTAGAATTACATCCTACTATATAACCCTAAATTAGACTGTTTGATTATCAATTTTTCACATGTGTGAATAGAGAAAATTTGCTCACACATGTGGCTTGCAACCAAAGGAAGCCTGAACTACATCAACATTTGTATGCTTGCTCTTCCAGCCTAAAACCTTAAGCAACCTCCACAAACCCTTGCCCGATCTCCTCCTTTCCTTGCCACCGATGGCATTTTCCGGTCCGACGCGCTCCGGTGGTTGGAACTTCATTGCCTTGTTCTTCCTGGTCTGCCTCAGCTTCATGTCCTTGAGCTCAATCTCCATTGGAAACCTTCCTACTCCAAATGCAAACAAATACCACCTTGACTTGACAGGCGTTGCTAATATTGATACTTTCTTGACAGAAAAATCAAACTTTTCATCCCCCAATTTCTTGCTTCGATCACTCCCATATTTCCCATTGTTCTTTTTGGATCCTTTAGCTGGCAGTGATAAAGACTTGTAGAAACTCTTCCCTAATGACCCTTTTGCTGATGATGAAGGATATGTTCTTGACTTGTTGAATGAATTTGAAATTTTCCATGGAAATTTGCAGCTGCTGATATTCTTCTTCTTGTCATCATTTTCTTGCTTGACTTTCCTGATTTTCGGGCTCTGTGGTTTGTCTTCAATCTTGGGTTGTTGTTGTTCTTTGAAAGACATCAGTTTCCCACAAAAAATGATGTTGCTATCATCTTCAGGAGCTGCAGCAGGAAAATCATCACTGAAGAACTCAAACAAATCTCCACTATTACTCTGGTGATCTTCTTTGGAGAAATCATCATTGTTCCAATATTCATTGGCATCACTGCTTATGACAAGATCACAAAGAGAAAGTGTTTCTTCATCGGCTTCATCTCCAAAACCTTGCCAGGAACCATTGATCTGTTGCATAGCTTCCAGGTTATGATTTAACTTTTGAGCAAAGAACTGATACAGAAGTGAAGAACAAAAAGCAAAGAAGGGTAATTAGATAAATGAAGACTTGGTTTATTGCTGAGGGAAGACAAGTTCAAAGATATATATACATACACAAGGAGCCTGGTTACTGAGATAGGACAGATTTTTTATATATTTAATTGAGATGGCTTCTAGAGGGATAAAAATTTAAAAAATAATAATAATAATCCATATTTACACAATAATTAAAAATAAATCTTAAATGATTCAATTGACAAGTGGTGAGTTGTTGGCTTCTCAGATGATATTTTTAATTAATAATCATAATAAGGATAAATTATTAAATAAAATAATTCTATAATTAAAGATAGGTCTTAAATGGAATACTCAATTGACACATGGTGGGCTACTAGCTCTTTGAGATAATTTTTTATTTAATAACCATAATAAAGATAAAATTATTATAAATATAAAATTATTATTTTATTTAATAATAATAAGAGAAATAAACAATAAGTACAATAATATTAATTCAAAATTTAAAAAATATAACAAAATAAAAATGATGATTATTATTGTTTATTTAATATAATTTTTTTAAAATATTTAAAATATTAATAATAATAAAGGGAAGGTGATAGGATGATAGGTATTCAAGTCATAAGATTTCTAGAAGAGGTGGCTTTCTAGATGGATATCCTTTCTCTTGGTGTTTCCAACGTTAAATTATTTTCTTTTCTTTTTTTTTTTCTTTTTGTTGGTCTTAATTATAAAAGTAAAATGGGTATTCAACTTTACTATATTTAAAAAAAAAAATAGAAAAAAATAAACTTGTGAATGTGAATGGTCTAAATTGGATAGCTGTTTAAACCTTTTTGGAAATTTATAATATAAATTTTTTTCATTTTAAAAAATGGTATTTAAAAAAAAAATTTGCTAAAACAAAATGGTATTTTTTATATTTAATTTTTTAAAATTGGTATTTTTAGTATTTAATTTTTTTAATATTTTGTGCAAAAACAAAAATAAAAAATAATGATATTAAAGAAGCAAAATTCTGGTAAAACTTTTTAATATTATAAAAAAATTTAAAATTTTAGAAATGATCAAATTAATTAACTGTCAAAATTAACGTGATGAGATTTTTTTTATATAATTAAAAATTTTTTAAATAAAAAAGTAAAACATATAATAATTTTTAATTTCATTTATAAAATTAAAAATTTTGCTATCAATATATATATATATATATATATAAAACAAACTCTTTAAAATTTTTATTTCAAATTATAAAATTTTGTGTCAGTTTTTCTTTTTTTTTTTTTAACCTGTTTTGAGGCTGCAATTTTTTGTTGTATTTTTTAACTGATTTTGTGCCTTTGATTTTGAAAGGAGCAATTTTTTTTTTCCACCGGATGTGTGGGGTCCATCTCAAGAACATTTTCTTTCATGCCACTGACTGCCAAAGTCTAAAAATGGGGCCCACAACTTATACGCGTTGAATTTTCTTGTGCCAGATAATAAATAATTAAAAATATTAGTTTTTTGAAATCTTGAATTTGGAAAGGATTTTTTTTTTTTTTACTTTTTAAGAAAAGGTGAAATTTAGTGTATAACCTTATGATTAAGCACACAACAAATTTTTAAAAAAAAAATAATTAGTTTCTTCAATATATTTGGAGGGAAAACCCAATTTTTCGTATTAATTTTTTTTACCATCACAATGTCACACTAAATATCCATAAAAAAATGAATTCCACTTAAATGATAAAAAGAATGTACTCTTTTTTTGTTATCTAAATTCAAATTTTGAATATGTTAGGAGTTTGTGTAAAATTAATTTTTTATGAGTTTAGTAAATTCAAAATAAATAAATATATTTAGACCAATAAAAGAGAAATACAAAATTTTTTTTAAAATATATATATTTTAAATAAATTTGATAATATAAAATATAACATGATAACACGATTTGAATATGATACGAAAATAAGACACAAAAATAATATGACTTAAAATTATAATAATAATTATATATAAATTTAAAAAAATAAAAAAATTTATATTTTATATTTTCATATCGATAAAAATCATAACACAATTTTCATATAAAATATAATATAAATATAAAAAATTTAATATTTTATACGGTACGTATGAATCATTAAATTTAATTTTAAATTAAAATTTTTTTTTTCAAAATTTGTTTTCATATATACAAAAAATTCAAACATATTATAACCCATACGAGAAGTTAGTACAGTCAAGTCAAAGAGAAAACTAAGAATTTGATCAAGAATATAACTGACATAATAATAGTAATTTTAGGTGAAAAAAAACTTCTAAAATACGCTGAGAAACAGTCAATTTCACGGACAATTTTACTTACGATGTGTAAAAACAAATGAATGTTACGTTTAATCTGTTTTCAAAACAATTGGTTTAATCACCCAATAATTCAAACCTAAAACTCGTTCAAATCTTATTTTGTCAACTGCCTAACGTCCAAACTACTTTGAAAATTTTTTCTACTTTGCTTCAAGCGAAAATGCCTTGATTACATGCCCATCTAACTTGAAAACTTTCAATTTCTATTTTATATAACATACTGAAATTATGGATAGCAAAGGTCTGATCAAGGTAAATTTTTTCTTGTCCTGAACCTAATATAATTTTATAAATTTAATATTTAAATTTAATTCGATCTAAAATTAATAAGATATTAATTTTTAATATAATATATTATTTAATATTATCTTTAAAAATATATTATTTTTAAATATAAATATTAAATTAAATATATAATACAAGTATGTATACCAAATTGGGTCAAGCGAATTTACATAAAATTCGATCTCAATTTTTCTTCAAAAATATCTTATCCAATCTAAATTTTTTTTTATTTTTAAAAATTTACGGTTAAGTCAGAACCCACCGAATTTAAGTTGAATTGTCAACCCCAAGTGAAATATATATATATACATTTAATTCCACAAATGGTATTAAAAAAATTAATTTGTATTTAATTTTTTTATTTTTTTAATATATATTAAGGGATATATATTATTTTTTTAATCTTGATTGTGAAATCTAAAATCAATGTTTTTAATAATTTTATATACATATATATATTTATGTATATAAAAGAAATAAAATGGTCTAACTCAAAAAAAAATTTCTACGAGTTTGTCAAGTTTGTTTACTAATTTCAACCTATCTTTTAAAGCGTTTTCCTTGAGATGGAAGCTAAAATGAAACCTACTGACTTGTAGAGCAACAAAGAATAGACCATTGACTAAGGCTGCATTTGGATCTAGTTGCAGTTTCGCTTCAGCACAATAAGCAACGTTTTTGGCGCAATCGCATCACAATAACGTTTTTGAATAACAACAATAACACGATTGCAAGTAGAAATTCTCATCGAACTTCCAAAATTTCCACCCAAAGCGATTCGGTGAGATTTTTCAATCGCATAGCAACCCCTTTTTCTAAAAATGTCGCTGCTTTTTATTTTTTATTTTTTTATTTTTACCTTAAAAAACTTTATTTTGAATAAAAATAATATTATTTTGATATAAAATGATTATTACCTTTTAGATTATTATCAATTTGTATAAATATATTAGTATTAATTTTTTTAATTTTATTTGATATACTATTATTTTTATTAATTTTTAAGTATTTATTAATAAAATTATTATTTGACATAAAAAGTAATTTTTATAATTTTAATTATTTATTAATTTCATAAAATATTAAATAATTTAAATTTTTATTATATATAATTTTTAATCTAATATCCTTCATGGTCATTTATTTTCTTATTATAATTTATCTTGTTATAACCGTTACATTTGTATGCATATATTCATTATTGATTTTAATCTCATCATTAAAATAATTAATCTTATCTTCATCATTTTTTCTTATCTTATTGAAGTTAATATTACTATCCATCCAAATGAATTTTGAGAAATTAGACGATACATTACCTATTGCATTTTTAATTTAAAATTTAATTTAATTAGTTTATGTAATTATTTTTAAGATATAATATCCAAAAGTCTAAAATTTAAATATCGATATTTATAATTTTTTTCTCTTTCCTTCAATTAAAGTTTTTTTTTAATTAAAAAGTTTTATTATATTTTTTAGCATTGCTTTTAAATAGAACAACAAATCAAAATTATAGATTTAAATAGGAAATTAATTAAAATTATAAAATGAAAAATAAATAAAAAAAATCAAGAAATAAATGTAAAGTTGCACAATGTTAGTAAGGCATGAAACTCGAACTTGAAACCTAAACATAATAGAATAATATATGATCATCCATGCAAAGTGATAAGGGAAAAAAAATTTTCAAACATATTCAAACTTAAAACTTAGATTAAGTTTTTATATAATTTGATCAATGTGAATCGTAATTAAAAAAATCGTAAAATTATTTGATAATTAATTAATTCTGACATGCATTGAGAATAAGCTATTAATCAAAATAAAAATGACATTTTGATTAGTACGATTAACTTATTAACTCAAAAAGAAAAATTCAAATCTCTTAAAGTCAACATTTTTTTTATAAAAAAATAGAGGTAGATAGATTATTTAATTTCTCGTATCAAAATAAAATATATCGTATCTAATAATTTAAAATAAATGATTATAAATTATGCATTCAAAATGATTTCAACAAATAATCACCAATAAGACTCGATCCAATCACTTATCGATAAAATCAACTTTTATTATTTACATCTCAAAACTTTTAATTTTTTGAATTTATTTATTAATAATGTGATAATATATGATTTCATAATAATTTATAAAATTTATATATTATCAATGCATTAAATATAACAAAAAAGAAAAGCTTTGCCAACGAACGAGTCAATGACCAAAGGTTTTCTTTTCAATTTTCCTTCAATTTCTAGAATTGGAATCATCATCGATGACTGCTAATATGAAGTTATGCTTTGCAAGTCAAAATCTGGAATGAAGAAGAAAGTTCATAGCCTCGTGTTTTACACTTCAAAAATAAAATAATTTTGTTCAAAATTCCTACAGAGTACTGTTGGACTATAGTTTTTGTTAGGCAGGAGTTATTATTTTTATTTTATTTTAATTTTTTCATTAATTATTTTGTACTTTTTCATATATCGTCGTACTAAAAAATATTTATTATATGAAAATTATTGTATCTGTAAAAGTTTTTAAACATTACTTAACATATTTTTTAAGGTATAATAAAAAATAAAAAAATTAAAAATGAAATATATGTTATTTTTTTATTTTTTGTGAAGTTAAAAATTATATTGTCAATGTAAAAAAATTAATTCTTTTTTTATATTATAATCTCATAATTTATAAATTATTGGTTTTTTTTTGGTGAAAATATACACGAGCTTTGACTTCGTGGACTCGAATTGCTGACAAATTTTTTTTCTCACCTAATCAGAATCTTAACTCTCTAATAATTTAAGTAATAAGATTAAGTGTTCGTCTGGATTTAATCGTATTTTTATGTAATATGATTAAATTTATCACATCATCAATTAAATCAAAAATTAATTTTAATGAGATTAATTTAATATAAATTTTTTATTAAATATTTTTTTCATTCATAGTTAAGATAATTTTTTTCAATCCTGGTTACAGTAATTTTTTTAATTGTGATTATAATCATTTTTATTATTATTTTTAATTTCATTACAATCAATTTCATTATTTATGCAAATGAAGTCTTGATGATGTTAGAATAAAATTATTAAATTCAAGTTTGTAAGATTCAATTTGAATACATTATTTATTAATGTTTTTAAATATATTTTATAAATAAATTTATATTATTTATTCATATAATAATATCTTCAAATCATATGCTTTGAATTCATGGACTTTATTTCGTGATAATTATTTTTTATGTGATTTAATCAGAACTCTAGACCACGTGAAGTTAGAGTAAAAATTTAAATTTGAGTTTGTAAGACTCAATTTGAATATATTATTTATTATTATTTTAAATATATTTTATAATTAAAAATATTAAGTATATTCATTTAATTAATTAATTATAAAATATTATTCGTAATCATTTATTAAGTTTAATAAATAAACATAAATAAATAAAAATTGAATCTATTTATATTAATTTTCACAAACAAATCAAATATAAATAAATTTTATTATATTTAAAATCTATTTATTTAATTAACGAATCTTAAAATATTATTCGTGATCGTATGTTAAACCTAATAAATAAACATAAATTTAAGATATTCACAAAATATTCGTCAAATATTTTTTTCATTTACACCTTTATTTGAAATACTCAATTTGAATATATTATTTATTAATATTTTAAATATATTATTTATTAATATAATAAAATCTTCAAATCAAAGCAAGGAGACTAAAAAATTCAATCCGTGAACAGCTCTACGTGTAATTGGGGTAATTAGGGTAGACCCAAATCTTTATAATTTGGAAATGAAAAATTTTATAGTTGAAGACAAGAATCACACTTCAAGGATTTACACAAGGAGAAAAACCTTGGACAGTTATTTTCATATTCATATTCTTTTTTTTTTTTTTTTTTCTTTGGAGTCTAAGAGCCATTTCTTCCCATACTCTAATGAGATTAAAAAAAAAAACGGATTTTCAAATTCACATTGCTTATTTCCTAGTAAAACAGACCGGTAAACACTCAAACGGTCATAGGCATAAACTCTTTGATTTTTTTTTTTTTTCAATGTTGAAAAGTCGAAACATTTGGTTTTAGTAAATTAAACTAATTATGATGACTGTTAGATGAGTGGTAGTGAAATCATTTTCAAATATTTAAAGTCTCGAATTTGAACCACAAATGTAATCCAAAGTCAAATTCAAATTAATTGAATGAAAAGCTTGCACATCCAACTACACCAAATATGACATCTAACTTAAATAATAATAATAGTAATAATAATTAGACATTAATTCACGTTGAGATTTGATGTCCGGATCTTAACCCAGACTATTCCAAATCTAAATTTCATATTTAAGCCCAATTTAAATGGGTTTGCATGAATAATTTTACTCGTAAACATTTTTACATTTAATTATATTTTATTGTTAGAAATTTTAAATTGTGATATTATCGAAAAATAGACATGTTTTAGTATTACGATCATGAAGAAGAATCATGAATCTCATATCGATTTTATTTTAAAATTGATTATGGGATATAAGAGCCCACATTATCTTTAATTTATGAGGTACATTTTGTGGGATAAAATTATAAAATTAAAGAGATCAAAACAGACAATATCTCATAAGTTAATGTGAACTATGACAATTAAGTCTGATGTGAGACATGGAAGAAGCCATCCTCATATCATGGAGCGATGATAATGTGAACTATGACAATTAAGTCTCGACTTATGGTAAATAGTATCAAAGTCAATTTTAAAAGTTATTAACGATGTGTCACCAATGACAGTAAGCTTTTCATTGAAGTGGATGATGATATCACGGTCTTGGGTCCTAGGATCATTCCTGTGTTTTAAAGTCATGTGAGCTTGAAACTTGAATCTCAGTTCGTGACACATCGATCAAATTATATACCTGAGTCCAAAAATTTTGCTTAAAATTTAAGAGAGTTTGGATATGAATTTTAAATTTATTAAAAAAATTAGGTTTAAGGAATGAACTTTAATGCCCAAGCCTAATAATTATTATATATATTTGTTATAATTATATTATATACAAATAAAAAGATAATTAAATAATATATGTATCTACATTAATGTCCTATGTATTAATATACTAATTACATTTAAACATCAAATTAAATTAATAAAATATTTTTTAAAATTTCATTTTGTTGATTATCAATTTTATTATAGTTAATATTTATTATAAAATTATTTTTTATTTGAAAAAAATAAAATATATACAAATCGAAATATAATTTTTTTTAAAAAATGAACTAGACCTGGAAAGCAACATAAAACTCAAATTTTGAATCAGATTGAGCTTAAATAAGCAGAAAATTTATTAATATCATGTTTAGGCTCAAATAGGATTATTTACAAGGATCAACTTAATTGGTGAATTCGTTTATCCTCAACTTAACATCATCACATCATTTTATCATAAAAATTTAATAATAAAATGACAAAGTAATGTTGTAAGAATCATCGAAAAAAGCATTAGTTGATGTAATTAAAGGAAAAGTTAGTTTCAACACTTAGAGACACTTGTCCCGAGAAACTTTTTTGATGCATTTTCGTAAGTATTTGTGGTGGGTCATAAGCATAGCCCACCGCCCACCATGAACAAGAAAAATTATTTTAAATAAAAACGACGTAGTTTCCACCTCATCTTCGGGCCTCGCTTTTCTTTCTCCCCACGCATTGCTTAAAAGATGCCTTGTCAAAAGCACTTCTCAATTTCCATTTTCCACGACATTGTCGGATCATCGAATCGAACTCCGACCACTTCTGAAAACCAATTCCATTCTCAAGTTAAGCGCGTAATATCTTCTTCCCAATAAAAACCATCCGTCCCTACCACGCCATACTCCATGCACGTGCAAATAAAGCCACCGCACGACAGAGGTAAGAAAAAAATTCAAAATAATAAAAAATTGATTTGACATTTAAGTGTTAATTTGGTTGAGACAAAAAATATATTAAATACATATATTAAATTTCAACCTAATCAAATATGAAAAAAAAAATTGAATTATATATTTTTATTAAATTTTTATAAAATAAAATAATTATTTTATATATAAATTTATTTGAATATATTAAAAATTTTTATTAAAATAATATATAGAAACAAAAAAAATTTAAAAATCAATTAATATATGTTATTAATTTAATTGATTTATTTTTGTTATAGATTTGTTTTTTAATATTAAATTATTAATATATGTTATTAGTGTTACATTTACAAGATATTGCGTGAAATTTGTTTTCGTATTTTGTTGTGATTAAGTCATTTTTGGGAATCAGTCTGTGATTCAATCATTCTATTTGTTTTAAATTGTAAGAGTCTAAAATCGGTGAATATGTTTGGTAGGTTTGATTTGATTGTATGAAATTAGTGGATCATTTAGGTTTCTGTATTGGGGTTTTTTGCATCCTTGAAAAGTTAGGCAAAAGTGAATGGTAGATTTTGTTATAATTGTTTTACAATTACATAAAATCATTGTATTTTTTGTTGTTCATTCTTTATAAAAAGTGGGTATGTGCTTTTGTATCGGTTCATGGTCTTTGATTTTTTACTTTCTTTTTTATTATTTCTTTTAGTACTAGCTTTTTACTGTGGATATTGTTTGATTATTGCATTTGCTACTTCTTTTTTCTTTTAAAGCATGAACATGGAAGGGCCTTTGGATGGCAAAAATGAATTGAAGTATTCAAAACTGAAATATATATTTGGAGCAAAAATTGCATGATTTTGCTCTTATATGGAACTATGATAATAGTACTGATGTTGCATTTTCAGTCTTTTGGTCAATTGTAACCCAGTATGAAACTAAAGTAAATATTGGGAACTGTTAATATATCTTTTATTGTTGATGGGTGGGGGTAAATCTGCAATGGGTTTAACTAACATGTTCATTGTTTATATATAAGATTCTGGTTTAACTTTTTTTAATATATGTTGGTGCAGCTGCTAGCTAGTACCGCAAAATGGGTAAGGAGAAGGTTCACATTAACATTGTGGTTATTGGCCATGTTGACTCTGGAAAGTCAACTACCACTGGTCACTTGATCTACAAGCTTGGAGGTATTGACAAGCGTGTGATTGAGAGGTTTGAGAAGGAAGCTGCTGAGATGCACAAGAGGTCGTTCAAGTATGCTTGGGTGCTTGACAAGTTGAAGGCTGAACCTGAACGTGGTATTACCATTGATATTGCCTCGTGGAAGTTCGAGACCACCAAATACTACTGCACTCTCATTGATGCCCCAGGAAATCGTGACTTTATTAAGAACATGATTACTGGTACTTCTCAGGCTGATTGTCATGAGCCACCCTTGTATAGGGTCATGATCGGGACTTAGGTTGTCATGAGCCATCCATATATAGGGTCATGGTCGGACAGATCCCTTATACTAGGAAAAGTGTCCCAATTTTAAACATTGTAACGGTTACTGGTAGCGTAGCTCTAAAAGTTCTAAGGCTCTTTAGGGGGGTGAGCCGGCAGCGTAGTGTTGGGCTGTCTCACCGGGTGCTATGCGAGCTTAGGCCACCCACCAAGGGCTGCCCCCTGGCCCTGGTGATGGTGGGAGGTCCCGATGTATGATTTTTGTTTATAATATAATTTATCTCGATTGAATGCCCGATTGTTACCTCGATGTGTTTCTTTCTTTCTCGATGTGAATGTGCCTTGTTGTGTGTATGCTTGAGATTGACCTCGATATATTGTGCCTTATTGTGAATGCTTGAGACTAACCATGGTTTATGGTTATTTGTTCAGATCTCGATCTATTGAAGGCTGACTTGGGTGGAAGCGTCCATTCAAGTGCCACACGGGCTAGTGCTTGTTGAGAGAAAGCTTAGTCCGTGACACGTGGTATCAGAGCACGGTTGAGAAGTGCTAGAGAAATGGATGAGATGGCCACAAGTGGTGGACCGGATCATCAGCAGAGAATTGAGGAACTAGAGGCCGCGGTGGCCGCAATGAAAACTCATATGGTGACAAAAGACGAGTGAGGGAGATCGAGACAACCCAGCGGGAGTTGTCCGATACTCTCCACAATGTGAAGAGGCTAGAGATGCCTTGAACATTCTCCAAAAGGAGTTTGAGGAGCTCAGGGCCCAGGTGAGCATCCTACAATGGCTGTGGCCAGATCGGGTTCGAGCTCGATGGACAGGGGACAAAGGCCCAAGGTGCCGGAGCCTCGATGCTATGAGGGGGCAAGGGATGCTAAGGAACTTGAGAATTTCTTGTTCGACATGGAACAATACTTTCGAGCTGTACACACCAGTTTAGAGGAAGACAAGGTGACAATGGCATCGATGTACCTCGCAGGAGATGCCAAATTGTGGTGGCGCTCCAAGTTTGTCGATGACGAGTGCCTGATTAAGACTTGGACGGATCTGAAGCGAGAGCTGAAAAACCAATTTTTTTCAGAAAATGTGGAGTATATGGCTCGAAAGAGACTTCGAGAGTTGGTGCAAACCGGAACGGTGCGAGAGTTCGTAAGAAACTTTTCTACCTTGATGCTAGATATTCGAGACATGTCCGAAAATGACAAGATGTTCTATTTTCTTGAGGGCCTCAAGCCGTGGGCGAGGACAGAGCTATAAAGGCAGAAAGTGCAAGATGTGGCCACGGCCATGGCTGCAGCGGAACGCCTTCATGATTACAATGATGGCTCCTTAAAACGGAAAAATCCTCCATCAACGGGCAGTAACTTTAACCTTGGGAGTGGGGGAAAGATCACTAGGTTGGACCGACCTTTCAGTGGGGGATCAGACAGGAGGTCCTTTGGGCGAGATAACACCCAGCCCAAGATAAACAACACGGAGATTTTCAGACCCAGACAACCGCTAGCTTGCTTTCTTTGTAAAGGACCGCATCGAGTGGCTGAATGCCCGCACCGAAGAGCCCTGAATGCCTTAAGAACCTCATCTCAAGAGTCCACGAAAGTGCCAGAGAGCGTTGAAGAAGCTGAAGAGGAGCCAGCCAGGATGGGCTCAATAAGGTTCCTCAGTGCCCTCCGCACCCAATTGAACACTATAAAGAAAGAGCAAAGTAGAGGCTTGATGTACGTGAACTTGACGATCAATGGGAAAGCCACCAAGGCCATGGTGGATACGGGTGCAACCGACACTTTCATCACACCAGAAGAAGCAAAAATGTGTGGTCTTCAGATTAGTAAAGACTGTGGGCGAATGAAGGCGGTCAATTCGTCAGCCTTTGCAATCAGTGGAAGCTCAAAAAGTGTGACAACCCGATTGGGGCCATGGGAAGGGAAAGTAGACTTCACAGTCTCCCCTATGGATGACTTTGATGTCGTTCTCGGATTGGACTTCATGACGTTGGCTCAAGCGATCCCTATCCCCGCGGCTAGCTGCTTGTTGTTCTTAGGAGAGCACCCATGTGTGGTGCCAGCCAATATCTTGCCAAAGAGTGGGAAGAAAATGATTTCGGCTTTGCAATTCAAGAAAGGGGTAAAGAGAGGGGAACCCTCGTTTGTGGCCATGCCAATCTACAAAAAAGGGTCGGAAGTAGAACCAATACCCGATGGCATAAATAAAGTGTTAGAAGAATTCAGAAAGGTGATGCCAGAGATGCTGCCTAAGGTTCTACCCCCTCGACGAGCAGTGGACCACGAAATTGAGCTCCTCCCAGGAGTAAAACCCCCTGCTAAAAGCTCCCTATCGCATGGCCCCGCCAGAGTTGGTCGAGTTGAGAAAACAGTTAGATGAGCTTCTACAAGTCGGGTTCATCCGATCATCAAAGGCTCCTTTCGGAACGCCAGTGCTATTCCAGAAGAAACATGATGGGAGTTTGCGCTTATGTGTTGACTACAGGGCCCTGAACAAAGTCACCGTAAGAAACAAATATCCTATCCCGCTTATAGCCGACTTATTTGATCAATTGAGCCGGGCTAAGTACTTCTCCAAACTGGACCTGAGATCTGGATACCATCAGGTCAGAATCGTTGAGGGAGATGAGCCAAAGACCACTTGTGTAACACGGTATGACGCATTTGAATTTCTTGTTATGCCCTTTGGACTAACCAATGCTCCTGCCACATTTTGTACATTGATGAATCAGGTGTTCCATGACTACCTTGACAAATTTGTAGTCATTTATTTAGACGATATAGTGGTGTACAGCTCCACCTTGGAAGAACATCAAGAACACCTACGCCGGGTTTTTGAAAAGTTGCGGGACCATCAGTTATATGTAAAAAGGGAGAAATGCGTGTTTGCTCAGACCCAAATCCACTTCCTCGATCACATTGTCGAACGTGGCCACATTCGAATGGACATGGAAAATGTTAGGGCCATTAAATAGTGGACTACACCAAAGAATGTTAGTGAACTCCGCTCATTTTTGGGACTAGCCAACTATTATAGAAGGTTTGTGGAAGGGTACTCTTACAAGACCACGGCCCTCACGGAGTTATTGAAGAAGGAGCACAAATGGTGTTGGACCAACGAGTGCCAAGAGGCCTTTGAGAGATTGAAAGATGCTATTATGAAAGATCCCATCTTAGCTCTCCCTGATATTGAAAAGCCTTTTGAAGTTCAGACGGATGCATCAGATTTTGCTATTGGAGGTGTGCTTTTACAATAACATCACCCGATAACATTTGAGAGTAGGAAGCTAAGCGAAGCGGAGAGGAAATATACGACCCAAGAAAAAGAGCTCCTGGCGGTGGTTCATTGCTTGAGGGCTTGGTGACATTACTTGTTGGGTTCACACTTTGTCGTGAAGACGGACAACGCAGTCGTTAGCCACTTTCTCACCCAACCAAGGCTTACAGCGAAACAAGCTAGGTGGCAGGAATTTTTAACGGAGTTCGACTTTCACCTTGAGCATACCGCTGGAAAGATTAATGAAGTGGCGAATGCATTGAGCAGGCGATCAGAGTTGGCAGCCCTCAAAAGAATGGCCCCAATGGCAACCAGTAGAGCCACTACCGACATTCATAAGTTGATTGGAGATCATCTAGGAAAGGACCCGCAAGCCTGTGCCATCTTGAAGCTAGTGGAAGAAGGGAAATCCAAATACTTCTGACAAGAAAATGGTGTCTTGTGGACCAAGGGGCCTCGAGTGTTTGTGTCCAGAGCAGGAGGGCTGAGACAGATGCTGATGAGAGAATGCCATGACACCTCATGGACGGGACACCCAGGCTGGTAACGCACTTTAGCGTTACTGAAACAAGGATACTATTGACCCCACATGCTACAAGATGTGATGAACTACACGAAGACTTGCCTCATTTGCCAACAGGACAAAGTCGAAAAGAGAAAACCTACGGGCATGCTGGAACTATTACCGGTACCCACCAAACTATGGGAAAACATCTCCCTCGATTTCATTTCGAGCCTACCCAAGGTTGGGGATCTTGGAACTATCTTGTTGGTAATTGATCGGTTCTTCAAGTATGCCACATTCATCCCCGCTCACAAGTATTGTACAGCAGAAGACACAACTCAACTATTATTCAAACATGTGGTCAAATATTGAGGCCTCCCTCAAAACATCGTCAGTGATAGAGATCCGAGATTCACGGGGTCCTTTTGGAGGGAACTTTTCAAGATTTTGGGGTCCCAACTCAACATCTCTTCGAGCTACCATCCTCAGACCGATGGCCAAACGAAATGCTTCAATGGATTGTTGGAGGAATATTTGAGACACTTTGTCCAAGCCAACCAAAAGGACTGGCCTTCATTGTTGGACGTTGCTCAACTATGCTTCAATTCCAACAAGAGCTCTTCCACTAACAAGAGCCCATTTGAGGTGGTCACTGGACAACTACCAAGGCTACCCCACACTTCCTTGAACAATATGGAGGAAAGAATCCGAGAGCTTTTAACTTCAGCAAGGAGTGGGAACAAAACACAGAGATTGCACAAGCTTACCTGGAGAAGGCATCAAAGCGGATGAATAAATGGGCAGATAAGAATCGCAGAGCTCAGCAATTCCAAGTTGGTGACTTGGTTTTGGTTCGACTAGTTCCAGAACAAACCAGGTTCTTAAGAAAGAGAGATCGCAGACTGGTGCGTAAATATGAAGGTCCCTTAAGGGTCATTTCCAAGGTGAGGAACGCTTCTTACAAAATCGACCCACCGAAGTGGATGAAGGTGCACCCAGTATTTCATGTAAGCAACCTGAAGCCTTTCCATACAGATCCTACAGATATTAGTCGAAGGGAGCCAACCAGAGCCGCCATCACCATGAAGCCACCCTCAGAGCGTCGAGTCGAAGAGATCTTAGCCGACAGGGAAACCAAGATATCTTGAAGACTAGTTCGGGAATACTTAGTGAAGTGGGAGGGCTTAGGACTAGAAGAAACCAGCTGGGAGAGAGAACACGACCTCCAGAGATTTCAAAGGAAGATCGAAGAGTTTCAAGCTAGCAAGTCGACGAGGACGTCGATAGAATAGGTGGGGGAGGATGTCATGAGCCACCCTTGTATAGGGCCATGATCGGGACTTAGGTTGCCATGAGCCACCCATGTATAGGGCCATGGTTGGGTAGATCCCTTGTACTAAGAAAAGTTTCCCCATTTCAAACATTGTAACGGTTACTGGTAGCGTAGCTCTAAAAGTTCTAAGGCTCTTTAGGGGGGTGAGCCGGCAGCGTAGTGTTGGGCTGTCTCACCGGGTGCTATGCGAGCTTAGGCCACCCACCAAAGGCTGCCCCCCTGGCCATGGTGATGGTGGGAGGTCCCGATGTATGATTCCCGTTTATAATATAATTTATCCCGATTGAATGCCCGATTGTTGCCTCGATGTGTTTCTTTCTTTCTCGATGTGAATGTGCCTTGTTGTGTGTATGCTTGAGATTGACCTCGCTATATTGTGCCTTATTGTGAATGCTTGAGACTAACCATGGTTTATGATTATTTGTTCAGATCTCGATCTATTGAAGGCTGACTTGGGTGGAAGCGTCCATTCAAGTGCCACACGGGCTAGTGCTTGTTGAGAGAAAGCTTAGTCCGTGACACTGACTGTGCTGTCCTTATTATTGACTCCACCAATGGACGTTTTGAGGCTGGTATTTCCAAGGATGGGCTGACCCGTGAGCATGCTCTGCTTGCTTTCACATTTGGTGTCAAGCAAATGATTTGCTGCTGCAACAAGGCAAGTTGTTTTATTCATGGTTTTAGTTCAGTAATTTCTAATTGGTTAGCCTAGTAATTATTCAATGGTGCCGTAGCTAAATTTGATATATATTTATATGTTTCCTTAACAGATGGATGCCACAACCCCCAAATACTCAAAGGCTAGGTATGATGAAATCGTGAAGGAAGTGTCTTCCTACTTAAAGAAGGTCGGCTACAACCCTGAGAAGATTCCTTTTGTGCCCATTTCTGGTTTTGAGGGTGACAACATGATTGAGAGATCCACCAACCTTGACTGGTACAAGGGTCCAACCCTCCTCGAGGCACTTGACCAGATCAATGAGCCCAAGAGACCCTCCGACAAGCCCCTTCGTCTGCCACTTCAGGATGTCTACAAGATTGGAGGTATTGGAACTGTCGCAGTGGGTCGTGTTGAAACTGGTGTCCTCAAGCCGGGTACGGTTGTTACATTTGGTCCCTCTGGATTGACCACTGAAGTTAAGTCTGTTGAGATGCACCATGAGGCTCTTCAGGAGGCTCTTCCTGGTGACAATGTTGGCTCCAATGTTAAGAATGTTGCTGTCAAGGATCTCAAGCGGGGATTTGTTGCCTCAAATTCCAAGGATGATCCTGCCAAGGAGGCAGCCAACTTCACCTCCCAAGTCATCATCATGAACCACCCAGGGCAGATTGGAAATGGTTATGCTCCTGTCCTTGATTGCCACACCTCTCACATTGCTGTCAAGTTTGCCGAACTATTGACCAAGATTGACAGGCGATCTGGTAAAGAGCTAGAGAAGGAGCCCAAGTTCTTGAAGAATGGTGATGCTGGATTTGTTAAGATGATTCCTACCAAGCCAATGGTTGTGGAAACCTTCTCTGCGTACCCCCCACTTGGGCGTTTTGCCGTGAGAGACATGAGACAGACTGTTGCTGTTGGTGTCATCAAAAGTGTGGAGAAGAAGGACCCAAGTGGAGCCAAGGTGACCAAGTCTGCCGCCAAGAAGAGTGGCAAGTGAACCGTGGGGGTTTTGGTTGATTCAATAAAAGTCTATTGTGGTTACTACAATAAAGCTTTGGTTCTCGTTGGTAGGTCCATCATTGGACGTGTAGTTACACTTCTTGATGGTTACAGTTTCAAGTCATCACCGTCTTCTCGAGGAGTATTGTTCACAGAACTGGGTTCTTGACAGGGGTGGTGAGGTTTTATTTTCAGAGTTCCATGGTGTCTTGTTTGCTGTGTCTTATGAGTTACAAAACTTTAAATGTTGTCTTTCTGTGTTTAAATTTATCAGTGTAACCAGCTCAGGAGTTTTAGGTCTGTTCATGGCCTCCTCTCCTTGAATATATTTATAAGCATTTTTATATCCTCTTCAACTTATTTGTTTTCCTGTTATACTGTTTGCCATGATCTTTTTACCATATTAGAATGCTGTAGAGTGTTAGTACTAATCGCTCTTCTATCATTTTCTCAAATTAAAATTAATTCTGATATATATATGTATATAAATATATATTTTATTAAAATTTTAAATAGTATTTTTGTATAATTTTTTTCATCATTTTCTTATGATATTATTTTATGGTGTTTAAAATTATCAAGTATATTTTGAATTATAGATCATTAAATCAAAGTTAATTGGAAGTTTATTGAAAGTTTCTTAGGTAAAATTTGACAATTCAAGTATTTATATAATATAAAATATTAATAATTTATATATTTATATCGTATTTTATATTAAAATTATATATCATAATTTTTATTTATATAAAAATATAAAATATATAATTTTGGATTTTGATAAATTTATTTATATATTTTAATAAAATTTTAAATTATGTTATTTTTATATTTTTAATTCGTATAATTTTTATATGTCGGATATTTGTATTGTATTTAAGAATGACAGGTTTACATGCTGTATTCTCTTTGTTTGAAACAAAGTTTGAGACATTTGTCACGAGAAACTTTTTTGATGCATTTTCGTTAAGTATTTGTGGTGGGTCATAAGCATAGCCCACCGCCCACGATGAGCAAGAAAAATTATTTTCCTTAAAGAAATAAAAACGACGTAGTTTGCACCTCATCTTCGGGCCTCGCTTTTCTTTCTCCCCACGCATTGCTTAAAAGGTGCCTTGTCAAAAGCACTTCTCAATTTCCATTTTCCACGACATTGTCGGATCATCGAATCGAACTCCGACCACTTCCGAAAACCAATTCCATTCTCAAGTTAAGCGCGTAATATCTTCTTCCCAATAAAAACCATCCGTCCCTACCACGCCATACTCCATGCACGTGCAAATAAAGCCACCCCACGACAGAGGTAAGAAAAAAATTCAAAATAATAAAAAATTGATTTGACATTTAAGTGTTAATTTGGTTCAGACAAAAAAGATATATTAAATACATATATTAAATTTCAACCTAATCAAATATGAAAAAAAAAATTGAATTATATATTTTTATTAAATTTTTATAAAATAAAATAATTATTTTATATATAAATTTATTTGAATATATTAAAAATTTTTATTAAAATAATATATAAAAACAACAAAAATTTAAAAATCAATTAATTGAATTAAATCGAATTTGTAAAATTTGATTCATATCAAATTAATTTTAAGAAAAAATAAGTTTGAATTTAAATCAAAATTTAAAAATTTATAATTAGGGGTGATAACAATTTGAATTAAATTAGATTTGATTTAATTTTTTTTAAATATTATATAATATTAAAAAATTTTAAAATTTGATTGAATTTAAATCGTATTTTCATATCATCTTAACCAAATTTTATCAGTTTAATTGGTTTATTGATTTTTAAAATTTATTTTTTTATTTTCATATATTATTTTAATATAAAATTTTAATATATTTAAGTAAATTTTGATATAAAATTTTATTTTTATTTTATAAAAATTAAAAAATATATAAAAACTAAAAATATATAATTTGATTTGGTTAAATTTTTTTAATTTTTCACTTCTTAATTAAATTTCGATCCAAATTTAATATATATATTTAATATTTAAATTTAATTTGAATCAAATAAAAAAAATTAATTCAAATCAAATCCAATATTATAATTTTAAATTAATTATACTTTTTTTTATTTTTATTTATAATATTACATGTTATCTGAAAAACTCAAACTAAATTCGATTGATTTGAATCGTTTTTAGTTCTATCAAAACAAATAAAAAGAAGGGCATTTTAGGGGCAAAACCTGACTATAAAAGTGAACGGGAGGCTCATTGCAAACCCTATCACTCGCTCTACTGCTCTCTCTCGTCTGCGAAGCCGGTAGGGTTTTAGCGTCAAATCGCTCTCTTCCAAAACAAAGGTTAGATTTTCAGATCCCCAATTTTTAAATTCATATTCAGTTCCTTTTAATCGATTAATTCATTTCTTTGTTCTTCCTGATTTTGATTTCACTGGCTTTGTTTGCTGTATTAAGATCTTATTTTAATATTTATTATAATTTCCTAGATTTTTTTTCTGATTTTTTCGATGATATTGTTTTTGTTTTTTCTTTGATTCGTTTGTGTTTTGATTCTGTTGTATTGTTATTTTGTTATTAGATTTATTTTAATGATAATAATTCGAAGATCTGGTTTATGAGAAATTGTTATTTTCTGAGATCGTTAAATTGATTTATTTTTGTTATAGATTTGTTTTTTAATATTAAATTATTAATATATGTTATTAGTGTTACATTTATAAGATATTGCGTGAAATTTGTTTTAGGATTTTGTTGTGATTAAGTCATTTTTGGGAATCAGTCTGTGATTCAATCATTCTATTTGTTTTAAATTGTAAGAGTCTAAAATCGGTGAATATGTTTGGTAGGTTTGATTTGATTGTATGAAATTAGTGGATTATTTAGGTTTCTGTATTGGGGTTTTTTGCATCCTTGAAAAGTTAGGCAAAAGTGAATGGTAGATTTTGTTATAATTGTTTTACAATTACATAAAATCATTGTATTTTTTGTTGTTCATTCTTTATAAAAAGTGGGTATGTGCTTTTGTATCGGTTCATGGTCTTTGATTTTTTACTTTCTTTTTTATTATTTCTTTTAGTACTAGCTTTTTACTGTGGATATTGTTTGATTATTGCATTTGCTACTTCTTTTTTCTTTTAAAGCATGAACATGGAAGGGCCTTTGGATGGCAAAAATGAATTGAAGTATTCAAAACTGAAATATATATTTGGAGCAAAAATTGCATGATTTTGCTCTTATATGGAACTATGATAATAGTACTGATGTTGCATTTTCAGTCTTTTGGTCAATTGTAACCCAGTATGAAACTAAAGTAAATATTGGGAACTGTTAATATATCTTTTATTGTTGATGGGTGGGGGTAAATCTGCAATGGGTTTAACTAACATGTTCATTGTTTATATATAAGATTCTGGTTTAACTTTTTTTAATATATGTTGGTGCAGCTGCTAGCTAGTACCGCAAAATGGGTAAGGAGAAGGTTCACATTAACATTGTGGTTATTGGCCATGTTGACTCTGGAAAGTCAACTACCACTGGTCACTTGATCTACAAGCTTGGAGGTATTGACAAGCGTGTGATTGAGAGGTTTGAGAAGGAAGCTGCTGAGATGAACAAGAGGTCGTTCAAGTATGCTTGGGTGCTTGACAAGTTGAAGGCTGAACGTGAACGTGGTATTACCATTGATATTGCCTTGTGGAAGTTCGAGACCACCAAATACTACTGCACTGTCATTGATGCCCCAGGACATCGTGACTTTATTAAGAACATGATTACTGGTACTTCTCAGGCAGACTGTGCTGTCCTTATTATTGACTCCACCACTGGAGGTTTTGAGGCTGGTATTTCCAAGGATGGCCAGACCCGTGAGCATGCTCTGCTTGCTTTCACACTTGGTGTCAAGCAAATGATTTGCTGCTGCAACAAGGCAAGTTGTTTCATTCATGGTTTTAGTTCAGTAATTTCTAATTGGTTAGCCTAGAAATTATTCAATGGTGCGGTAGCTAAATTTGATATATATTTATATGTTTCCTTAACAGATGGATGCCACAACCCCCAAATACTCAAAGGCTAGGTATGATGAAATCGTGAAGGAAGTGTCTTCCTACTTAAAGAAGGTCGGCTACAACCCTGAGAAGATTCCTTTTGTGCCCATTTCTGGTTTTGAGGGTGACAACATGATTGAGAGATCCACCAACCTTGACTGGTACAAGGGTCCAACCCTCCTCGAGGCACTTGACCAGATCAATGAACCCAAGAGACCCTCCGACAAGCCTCTTCGTCTGCCACTTCAGGATGTCTACAAGATTGGAGGTATTGGAACTGTCCCAGTGGGTCGTGTTGAAACTGGTGTCCTCAAGCCGGGTATGGTTGTTGCATTTGGTCCCTCTGGATTGACCACTGAAGTTAAGTCTGTTGAGATGCACCATGAGGCTCTTCAGGAGGCTCTTCCTGGTGACAATGTTGGCTTCAATGTTAAGAATGTTGCTGTCAAGGATCTCAAGCGGGGATTTGTTGCCTCAAATTCCAAGGATGATCCTGCCAAGGAGGCAGCCAACTTCACCTCCCAAGTCATCATCATGAACCACCCAGGGCAGATTGGAAATGGTTATGCTCCTGTCCTTGATTGCCACACCTCTCACATTGCTGTCAAGTTTGCCGAACTATTGACCAAGATTGACAGGCGATCTGGTAAAGAGCTTGAGAAGGAGCCCAAGTTCTTGAAGAATGGTGATGCTGGATTTGTTAAGATGATTCCTACCAAGCCAATGGTTGTGGAAACCTTCTCTGCGTACCCCCCACTTGGGCGTTTTGCCGTGAGAGACATGAGACAGACTGTAGCTGTTGGTGTCATCAAAAGTGTGGAGAAGAAGGACCCAAGTGGAGCCAAGGTGACCAAGTCTGCCGCCAAGAAGAGTGGCAAGTGAACCGTGCGGGTTTTGGTTGATTCAATAAAAGTCTGTTATGTTTACTACAATAAAGCTTTGGTTCTTGTTGGTAGGTCCATCATTGGACGTGTAGTTACACTTCTTGATGGTTACAGTTTCAAGTCATCACCGTCTTCTCGAGGATATTGTTCACAGAACTGGGTTCTTGACAGGCGGTGGTGAGGTTTTATTTTCGGAGTCCATGGTGTCTTGTTTGCTGTGTCTTATGAGTTACAAACTTTAAATGTTGTCTTTCTGTGTTTAAATTTATCAGTGTAACCAGCTCAGGAGTTTTAGGTCTGTTCATGGCCTCCTCTCCTTGAATATATTTATAAGCATTTTTATGTCCTCTTCAACTTATTTGTTTTCCTGTTATACTGTTTGCCATGATCTTTTTACCATATTAGAATGCTGTAGAGTGTTAGTACTAATCGCTCTTCTATCATTTTCTCAAATTAAAATTAATTCTGATATATATATATATATATGTATATAAATATATATTTTATTAAAATTTTAAATAGTATTTTTGTATAATTTTTTTCATCATTTTCTTATGATATTATTTTATGGTGTTTAAAATTATCAAGTATATTTTGAATTATAGATAATAAAATCAAAGTTAATTGGAAATTTATTGAAAGTTTGTTAGGTAAAATTTGACAATTTGGGTATTTATATAATGTAAAATATTAATAATTTATATATTTATATATTATTTTATATTAAAATTATATATCATAATTTTTATTTATATAAAAATATAAAATATATATTTTTGGATTTTGATAAATTTGTTTATATATTTTAATAAAATTTAAATTATATTATTTTTATATTTTTAATTCGTATAATTTTTATATGTCGGATTTTTGTATTGTATTTAAGAATGACAGGTTTACATGCTGTATTCTCTTTGTTTGAAACAAAGTTGCCGAGAGAGGGAAGGGAACTATACCAGTGTTGCTATAAGCAGAAGAACAGTGGTCTTAGCCTGCAATTTGCATATGCCGTTAAAAATAAGTAGTAATAAGTAACATAAAATGTCACTCATAATGACCAGAGACGGAACTTCCAATGAATGGAAATCTTTTCTACCATTGCTAGTTTTATGCTCTCATAACCCTAACCGAACAATTGCAACAAAGATTATCCTGCAAATTTATCTTCCGGTCATCGAACACGTTTAGAGGTCATCGATGCATTACAAGTTTCAAGCAAATAAAATTTTTATTACTCTCAGGAAAGCCAGTGTATCAAAAACTAGCAAGCTGCAATAAACTGAAATTCTAGTTAAACCATGAAAAATTTGTGTTTCTGTTAGCAACAAGCTTATCCAAAAAAAGGGTTGACCCTGTCTGGGGCTCATCGTAATGCAAAACTATAGATCATTCGTCTCAATGGTGAAATTTGCCTAAGCAACCAACCTTCCAATCATAAGTTCTTAAGGGCTGACCCATGAGTTGCTTTCTGGGGTGTGAGTCTCGCCAATAAAGCCTTGTTATGGCAGTGCTCTGCATCTACGTAGTAGAAGTTCCCATTGGCCTTAAATGTCACGAAGGGCCTGTTGGTCTCTGGTGGATGGATGTCAGCGAACTTGATGGTTCGGGGAACATATGTTGCCAACCATGACATCATCTCCACCTCAAAGGTGTTTGAACCAGGCTACCCCCTGATCTTGTGGATGCAAGGACTCACAAACCAGTGAGGTGCAGCAGTTGTTGCAGTACTGAAGAATATCACAGAAGGATGCCACTGCACCTTTCAGAATCACATTCATATCAGGGGATGTCATGAATGTTAAGACAGGGCCTAATGATACCGAGAGGCAGCACGTTGAAAGAGAAAGCATCTTTACGTTCTTGATGGTAGATGAAATTGGACCATAGTAAACAATACCTGTGTCCTTCTCATCTTCATCATCTTCTCTGCCTTTATGAGGACCAATGCTGATTTTGTTGTCATCCTCAGTTGTCTTTGCTTGAGAAGCCCATCTTTTCAATGCTTGTTGCAGTGTTGATGGGTTTGGCACATTGGGCGTACAGCCATGCAGCAACCCTACAAGGATGACCTAAAGCAGTGGCAAGATGACGCACAGCTATTACAACATCCATATATAGATGAGCAAGAGAAGAACAAAATATAGTAGGTTTTTATAATATAATTGCATCAGACATGATATCCAAAAATGTATAATAAAAACAAGAAGCATTAATGAAACTTTACAAAATCACGTCACGGTAGTTTCAGCAAACCATGAAAATTTTCCTTCCCATTCAAGTGCAATCCAGATTAAACTTTTGCTTGGAATAAAAAGTACGAGTCACATTACAATTTTACAACTTAATATTAGATTTCCCAAGTAGTGCAGTTATAAGCAGTTAAGTCCTATAAGTTTTGAAACTTGCTTCATTACAGCCAATTGTTGAATAATGAACAAAGGAAAAAAAGGAATTGGAGAAACATCACATTGTTAATCTTTTTTCTACATCCAAACTAAAGCCTGGGATTAGATCCAATACCAGTATGGAGATAACTGATATGGTATTTTATGTGATAAGAAATGTGATACTAAAGTAATTTGCGCAAATCTTATAGGGACTAAGCTTTCGATCAGTGGCAAATGATTCACAGAAACAAATTCTGAATACGGTAATGACAAAGCAATTGGAAAGAAAAGTCTGTATATATGTAATGTATGAATCTATAAATAAAGCACAAGTAGGGGCAAATAGAAACCAATCACTAGCAAAATATGCAAACAGCCAGTTATAAAAGAAAGATAATCCTCATGTAGGACTTCAACAAATGTGAAACCTTCTTTGTTTTTCAAGCACTCGGATCATACAATAACCCAAAGCAATTAGCAATCCCCCCTTTCCCCCACCCCACCCTGAGCCATGAAACTTTGAAGTAATTGAAAATAAGTTTTGTGGTTTCACATACCACAGCTATGAAACAACAGCTACACTTGATATGAAACCAATCACTAGCCAAAATATGCAAGAAGCCAGTTATAAAAGAAAGAGAATTCTCATGTAGGACTTCAACAAAAGTGAAACCTTTGTTTTTTGAGCACTCTGTCATACAATAACCCAAAGCAATACCCCCTTCGCCCATCCCATCCTGAGCCATGAAACCATAAAGCACTTGCAAATAAGTGTTTTGGTTTCACATACCACATCTATTCAACAACAGCTACACTCCATGTGAAACCAATCACTAGCCAAAATATGCAACCAGCCAGTTATAAAAGAAGAAAATTCTCATGTAGGACTTCAATAAATGTGAAACCTTATTTGTTTTTCCAGCACTTGGATCATACAATAACCCAGAGCAACGAGCAATCCCCCCTTTCCCCCACCTCACCCTGAGCCATGAAACTTTAAAGCACTAGCAAATAAGTGTTTTGGTTTCACATACCACAGCTATGAAACAACAGCTACACTATATGCTTTTTGTTTGCTGTGTACTATCTTGGATATCTTATAGACATTGAAAAGAAATTCAAAACTTCAATCACTTCTAACAACTAAAAACCCATTAATATTTTGTGAATCATTAACAGCAAATTTGTCAAAAACCCATAAAAAAGATTGCTTCTTTTAAAAAAAAATGGCACACCCCAACAACATAAAAATCCAATCTTTTTTCCTTCTAAGTATGGGTTTTTTGTCAATCTTAATTGCTATAAATAAGCCCAAATTCCCAACTAAAGAACAAATCATACAGAGGATTAATAACATGGTTTCAGTCTTTTAGACTAGCTATCAGAACTTGTAAATTGTGTATCTAAAGAAGTGAATAAAAAAAAGGGTGTTTAGAAGATAAAGAAAAAGCGAACCTGAATGGATGTTCCTCGAAATGAGTTGCTTCGATTGGGACCTAAGCAGGTGGAAGAGAGCAGCTCTCGCCATTTCTATCAGCTTTGAGGAGACTGAAACGCAGCTTTCTTCATTCCCGAGGTTCCTAGATATTTTTTCAGTTTTATCTCAGTCATTCATTTTATTCTCGCACATCCATTACAACAAGGGCACTTGGTCTAGTGGTATGATTCTCGCTTAGGGTGCGAGAGGTCCCGAGTTCAATTCTCGGAGTGCCCCCTTTTTTTTTTTTAAGTTTATATTTTTAGGTATACATATAATTCGTATATTTGTATAAAAGATTAAAATTTATATATTTATATGATATTTTATATAAAAATTATATATTATAATTTATATTGATATAAAAATATGAAATATATTTTTTTAATTATATTAAATTTATATATAGTTATTATTAAAATTTTAAATCATATAATTTTATATCTTATTTTTATATTTTATTGTGTCTTTTAAATTGTTCAATTTATTTTTAGATACATTTTGTGTAAATTATATATATTATTGTATTAAATTTATACTAATACATTAAATATATAATATACTTTTTATTAAAATTATGTATAATTTTAAATTTGATCCTATTTAAAATTGATACATTCTTACAAATCATTTTTCAAGATAATATGAAAAGCAGTAAAATATTAATGACAATGACATATTACACAAAAATACAAAATAACGCAAAAAAAAATAATGAAATTAATATAAACTAAAACGACATCGTTCCTTACCGTGCGGACAAAGAAACAGAAGAGCCAAGTAAACACTGGAGCAGTGAAACGTGACGGCCGACTCTTTAGAAACTCCTCATCAGTTTTCCTTTTCTTATTTTTTGAAGCGGTTTTTCATTCTCTCACTTGAACAACCCCACTGTCTCTCTCTCTCTCGTCTCTTCTCTTCTCTGGTAACTTCCCTCTCTCTGAACTTCTATGTATTTTTATGTATACGAATACGTGTATACGTATTTAATGTGTTTCTACGTGTTCTTTGTTCATGTCTTCTAAATTTTGTTTTTTGGAAGTGTGATTATCGTTTTTGGTCGATTTAATCAAATGGGGTTTGCTTAAGTCCTTTGTTTTTAAGGTTTTTATTGAATCCCTCTAAAAAACAAAGCCAAATTGCCCATTTTTGGGGGTTCTTTGTTGTTGTTTTTGCCATGTTTCTTTACTTGTTTAGTCCTTTATTATATTCAGTGGGAAAACAATTAATCGTTTTTGGTGATGAACTTGGCTGATTGAGTTGAATAGATGCATTAGGCTTAGTTGAAGTTTGGGTTCTTGTTTTTGTTCATTTTGGGAATGATGGGGACTTGGAATTTTTAAATTTTAATCACAAATTTTGGGAATTTTGAGAAGTTTGAAATTTTAGTCCTTGAAAACTATAATGACATGTTTCATTGACTCATTTCTTGTATTTTTTTAGTCAAATTTTCCTTCTTTCTTTTGGCATTGCTGTTTATATATATATATGTATATATATATTCTCTCGTACTGCCTTCATGAATGCTTATGTTCTTACTGGTATGTTTGTGATCTTAACTGTTATATGACATTAATTGTTATTCTTGTCCACCTTCACTTCAAGATCAGATGGAACCAGTAACGGCATCAGTTCCTGATTTTGGAAATGCTGAAATGGGAGTTTCCAAAGATAATAGTGTGGAAGTGGAGCAGTTTAGAAGTCGTGTTGATGAAATCTTTCATAAGGTTGATGAGGTGAGAGAACTGATAAATTAGAAACTTATAGTCTTTTGCCTTGAGTTGATTTAATATTCTTCCATTAAAACAGACAAAGTTAAAAAGACTGGATAATTGTATTTGTTGGTATCAATTTAACCTGTTATCTAGGAGTGTAACCTTCAAAATAGAAAGTATACAATGTACAGGCAAGGGATATAATCTTTTATAGCATATGATATAGTCCCATATTAGCATCTATTGCCTATTTCTCCAAAGAGGTCATTACTACAGTGCTGATCATTGTGTTTAGTTTAAAAAAAAAAAAAGCATGGTGCTCCTGTATGCATTGGATTCAGGATTTCAGTTTCCAGGTTTTTGAATGTAAAGTGAACTTTTTTTCAAATGTTCTTTTCTTGTAGCTTGAGCAAAAAGTGAATGAAGTGGAACAATTCTACTTGAATGCAAGTAAAAAGCAACAGAGCAGTTCTAAAGGTAGCACAATCGGGAAGGAACGAGATAAGGAAAAACATGTTCCAAGCATTAAAAAGCAGCAGCAAGATGCTTCACGACGGGAAGCAGCTGCTGCAAAGCGAATGCAAGAGCTTATGCGCCAGTTTGGCACAATATTGCGTCAGGTAGTCACTTATCCTTTGCAAATGCACATTTGATTTTAGGTACCTTACTCTGTAAATGTCATCTCCACCAGAATGCTATTGGTTTTAAGTCTTCTGCCTAGCATGTACTTCTTTGGTTGCTGGACTGCTTTAAGTCTTTGATGTCTACAACTAAATAGAATGATGGTATAGAACGCAGTAGAAATTATAGTGGTCATTTGAAGTAATTCAAGCATTTATGGTTAATTTAAAGTTTTGGTTTAAGATTCTTTAACAGCTTGTTCTTACCTTTCATATCTAGTTCAAGTAAACTGAGTGAGTAAGCAACTCATATTTGGGTGATATGATATAATCAAATGTGATCTTTTGCCTAATTCTCATAATTATTAATTTGTTGATATACTTATTGTTGCTGTTGTTCTAGTTATATCATGCAGCAGAGAGAGTTTTATTTATTTTGTGATACAAGACTACTGTTCTTGCTTCTAATAGTTGCGTAAGAATTGCTCTCCACACATCCTCCCCCCCAAAGGTTCTAAAAGGAGCTAAACCTTAAATATGAAGATGTGCTTGTTTACTCTGTTATTTGTTATGTGATAGGATCTCATAATTTTTGCGCTTAGAGGATAAAAACAGCAATATTTAGGGATTCCTGCTGATAAGTGATAAGCTGCAACTAAATTTTGGTGATGTGTGTTTTCCTTCTTCCAGATCACACAGCATAAGTGGGCATGGCCATTTATGCAACCTGTAGATGTCAAAGGTCTTGGTTTACATGACTACTATGAGGTAATGTCTATTGTGTTAATGCATTTTTCTTTTTGTTTCCTTTCAGTTTTCCGGCACATAAAATTATAAACTGTCCATTTACTTGTTATTTATCCTGTTTGAGTTTACGAGTTTGGTGGGCATAATCTAGGAATGTGAATGGTATTTGTCAACTTTTTGTGATAACACTGTAATAGCTCGATCCTTTTTTAAAGACATGCAGTACTTGCACCATTATGTTCATGACCATATCATCTTCGTTAATCTAGTTGAAAGGCCCTTTGTATCATTAATAAGACAAGTTCTAAGGCACAAAAAATCACGGAAAATAAGAATATTATTTACTTATGGACTTTAGCTCAACTTAGGTGATAAAGATGCATAATGCACGTTATTATATTTGGCTGAAGGTATATTGGGATGCTTTCCTAAGTGTATTAGATAGCATAATCACTTGTAGGCTTTAGTGTCCTATTTTTAGGCATGACAAGCTGTGGTATCTAACTTTAAACATTGCTGCAAGTATTACAGATGTTTTTCTGAATCTTTCTAGATTGTTTTGGAAATGGTTTTCTATCCACTTTATTGATTAATTTGTTTTATGTTTTGTGCTAGGTAATTGAAAAGCCAATGGACTTCAGTACAATAAAAAACCAAATGGAGGCTAAGGATGGTACTGGGTATAAGAATGTTAGAGAAATATGTGCTGATGTTAGATTGGTTTTCAATAATGCAATGAAATACAATGACGAAGGAAGCGATGTTTATTTAATGGCCAAAACTTTGCTGGAAAAATTTGAGGAGAAGTGGCAGAGTCTTCTTCCTAAAGTTACTGAAGAGGTAAAAAAGCTCTTTTTGGTTCATGTAGTCACCCTAAGAAGTAGTATTCAGTACAAAAAAAAAAAAAAAAACGCTCTTCCAGGCTATCCCAATATGACTATCTCTGACTTGAATTACATGGCTTGTATTGCATAACTTCACTGGGTTCAGTGGCAATTTTTTTGCTAAAGAAAAAATTAAAAAATTTCCATTTTTCCTTTTCTTTAAAATAAAAAAATTATAATGTTGTACTCATAGGAGAAAAAACGAGAAGAGGAGGAGGCAGAAGCGCAGTTAGATATGCAGCTTGTGCGAGAGGCTGCTCATGCCAAAATGCTGCGGGAGTTGTCTAATGAGGTATCTTAAAATTTTGCAACCTGCCATGCAAAGATATTTTAAAATGGAAATATCTATGTTAACATATTTTGTCAATATCTTCGACACTGTTGGAATTGGTTTGCCAGTGTCATACAGTATTTCAATCAGCAGTATCTTTACAAATTACAATATTGAACTCTTTTCAGCTTTATGAGGTTGATACACATCTGGCACAGCTCCGAGAAACAGTTGTTCAAAAGTGCAGGTTAGTTTTACAACTTAGTGTATGGCGGAGTGAATACTTTTACCTTAGAAGTTGGATTTGCTATCCGTTTTGTGTGATGAGTATTTATCTTTGTTTTTAGAAAAAAGTCACAAAAATTTATATACTTCAACTTATTTAACTTTTTTTTTATTATTATTAACATAAAATTTAGCGAAACAAAATTGGAGTTTTCTGAGTTCAAAGTTTGCACTAAGACATTAAATATTCATGGACTATGCTAGTAGACTGGACAATTTGTGTATTTGTATCATGTAAAACATTGACAATTCATGTGTTTGTATAATGTCTTGCACAAAATTTGTGTTGACACAAAAAACACGGAATACATTTTCTGATTTTTGCTGAATCTGTATATGGTTTTAGTTAAAATTTTAAACCATGGCACTTTCGGTTTTTTTCATATCATGCTTGTGTTGTGTTTTAGATTGCCAATCTATATTCTAGTTAAGAGTAGTTACAACACTTGTACATGTCAAATGACCTAAAAATAGACACAATAGGCTAAAGAAAAAGAAAAAGGAGACTATATTCATGACAAATCCAACCTCAACTAATTTCATTGGGGCAGTTAGGGGTGCAATCTAGGTAAGGTAAGCATGACTGATCAAACAAGATCAATTGATATAATAAATTGGAAAAATGCTCTTTCAGGAAAATGACAACTGAAGAAAAAAGAAATCTTGGGACAGCCATAGCCAGATTGTCTACAGAGGATCTTAACAAGGCATTGGAGATTATTGCTCAAAATAATCCGGGGTTTCAAGCAATGGCCGAGGAGGTGGAGATTGACATTGATGCTCAGGTTATAATAAGATAAAATCAATAATTGCTTTATTTTTGTAATTATCTCTATCCATTATTCGGAACCCTTATTCATTCTGCTCAATCAAGCCTCTGTACTGAATTGTTTGAGTTTACTTTATTCCTTATGCAGAGTGAATCTACCCTATGGAGGTTGAAATTTTTTGTCAAGGATGCATTGGAAGGTCAGCACAAGAGTGCAGCAAGCACGGGTGGCAACAATAATAACAATCACAACAACAAACGGAAGAAGGAGATTTCTGATGCTATTGCCAAAACTGCCAAGAAAAAGAGTAAAAAGCCTTCCTCTTGACAACATCATATGATGGATAAGTGTAGCATAAGATTTTAGGGTTAATATTACGAATGGCCCTTGAACAATAATGAAATATTCAATGTGATACTTGAATTTTAAAAATTTTTAAAGTGATATCTGAACTATGAATGATGACACTTGACGAATAATCAGCCTTTCAAGTATCACATTGATTAACAGATTCATAGATCAGGTACCGTATTAAAGATTTTTGAAGTTTGAGTGACACATTGAATATTTTACTATAATTCAAAAGTCATTCATAACATTAACCTAAGATGTTACCATTGGTTGCATTCCATTTATATTTTATAATAATAACCCAAGGAAGCATATGTCTATAAGTTGGGCAGTGAAACTATCTTGGTTTTGACTCGATAAAGGACATAACCAGGAACTCGATTAACTGCTTCCGACAAAGATAATCAAACCACAGATGTTTTTGTTGTTTTATTGTCCTGTAAATTTCCTATGGATGTGCTCTGCTAATATCTGTATTACATATCATAGTATATAATGGACAATTGATTTTTGATTTTATTGTCTCTTCTCATCTATCCTGCTGTGAGCCAAGTTTTTTGCATATGGACAATGTGAAGTACTATTGTTCTTTACCAGTTCTCATCCCATTTGCTGAAGGGACTTTGAATTATTTGTTGTGCTGCAATGTCCAATGGTTTTTGGGCAAATTTTGTTTATTTTGGAGAATTATTAGTGTAGAATCTGTGATAGATGGATGATTTTGTTATTTGTTCTTCATTTTTTCAAATTTTCTTTTTTAATTCTTTAAAGATAAAATTGGAGCTCTGTCCTTGAAACTAACATATAAAAAAATTAGCATCCGAGCATTTAATTTAATCATAGATGACGTAATGAGAAAAGATTGTAGGTAACGAAAATTTTAAAATCTAAACTTGTGGATTTTGCAATAATTGCATAACATGACGAATTAATTAAATTAAAATCATAATAATTCTTTTCATATTTTTGTTTTTTTTAAAAGAAATAATAATAATTTTTTTCATACTGTTGTTTTTTTAAAAAGAAATAATAATTTTTAATTTAAAAGTTGAGACAGTGGAAAAAAATATATATTTCCTCTTTACTAAATGGTTATCTTTTATTAACAAATCTTAAAATATTTCCTCTTCATAACCTTTTTACCTAACTCAACCACTTAAAAATGCATGCCCATGGGCCACCCCCAATTGGGCTTGTGTTTTCGGGAAATCTTTTGGTCATATTTGTAATTTTACTATATAGTGGGAAACAACTGCATTTCCTTAATTGGCTGCGCAAACTTCCACGTGGACCCACATCGATTAGTCCCTTCTGAAATGACATTTCTTACGCCAATTTTGCGTCCGCTTCCATAACAAGCCCGAAAAGCTCGACACGCGTCAGTCAGGTACTGGTCCTTTCAGCATAAAGCACCTCACTACCCAATGAGAATATTCCATGCGGCGGAATCTCAACTCCACTTAAAACACCTAATCGACTAACCCGAACCCCTCCGGACCCGTAGGAAAATCTAAAACCAGATTTAATAAATCAATTTCACGTCCATTTTTATTTTATTAATGAAATAGAGTAGTTTATATAAATATAAATTAAAAATTAAAAGTCGCGGCCAGTAAAAGCTACCGCGGCAGTAACTGAAACTCCAAGGTCCAATGTGAGCCTTTTTTTTTTTTTTTTCTTTGAATTTGATTTGATTTGATTTTTCAGTTTTTTATACTTTCAATTCATAATCAACTGATTTTTTTTAATTTTTATATTCTGCAGAGTTAATTTTTATTTTTATCTGTAAAAGAGGAATGGATTCGATGTCTATTTGCAGGGTAATTCATGTTGATTATTTGATTGCTTTTATTTTATTTTTTTAGAATTTATTTATGTTCATTAACTGATAAAAAATCTTTGGTTAAAATTTTGATTTTTTAGGAGCTATTTACCTATTTTGATTTTTTTTAGGGAAAATTTGATTTTTCGCAAAAAAAAAAAATTTATGTTTGTTTGATATGCAGTTGATCGTTTTAATTATAACTTTGTAAGAGATATATGTTACAAGTATTATGTGGGACAAAAATAATTGCATCTTATTCAGGTTTAATTCGCTATAATGTTGTGTTGGAATAAAAATTCTTGTCAATGTCATTGTGTTTATGGAACAGCCATTCTTTTCGCGTCTGTCATGGAGCTCTAAAGTGTGTTCTAGTGTTTTTGATATCAATTGTTTGTCTCTTCATTTTTTATGATTGTTTTGGATCGGTGTTTTATTATGCGTATGTAATAATTATTTATTGGAAAGTATGTGGCATATGCTACTGTAAAGAGTGGAAATTATTTATTGGAAATGTAAATAGTAAGGATTGGCAAAATACTTTTGAAAGAGAGCAGGAAGGTAGAGATTGCCATAAAATTAGATGATATATTGAAATTATTAATTTTAAATATTTAGGGTTTATGGAAGATAGTTTTATGAAGCTAAATGATTGAAATTAAATGCATCCATGTTTAGGGCCAGTTGGCTTACTTCCGAATTAAAGAGCTGAAGGATGTTCTTACTCAGCTTGGTATTTCAAAGCAAGGGAGGAAACAGGTAAGCTGTTAAATTCATGCTATGTTGCACTTCCCCTATCATTGTATGACTGGTGTTATCTTCATGCTTAATATTTTATTGAATTAGAAAATTTCGTGAAAATAGGTAAAATGCAATACAGAACATTTGTTTCAAAAAGTGTTACCTCAATATCTTTTGTTACTTGCTTCTGTAACTGCTACACCTGCTCGATCATCTCAAAGAATAGCTATTTACTACAGTAAAGAATAGTCATTGTTCACAACAGAATGCTTACCAAGTAACTGAGAAATATGGTTTTTCATTTGTTTTGACACCCATTATTCACTTGTAATTTCTTTCTGGGATATCATTTTTTAGCTGTAGTTTTGCTTCCCTTTAGTTTAATTATTTTTTCTCTTAATATTTTGATTGCAATTTCCTGTATGGATATTTTGCAACAAGTTTTCATTCTTTTCCTCATCATATTTGTGTGATTTGTTGGTGATTAGATCATCAGGTTTATGCTTTGTGAATCATGTCACAACTCACAAGACTTGGTTATTTAGTATATTTTAAATTTTGAGCTACATCGTGTTTTGATGCTCCTTGAAGAGGGAGGTTTCTCCTGATATTTAAGATGATCTTATTGTTTTACATCTGTGTGTGTAGGATTTGATGGACAGAATATTAGGCTTGATTTCAGAGGAAGAAGGTGAGTTTTTTTACTTACTTTTAAAGCTCTCTTGTCAAGGAATGGATGAATACCGTGATTATTACTTGTGTGTGGAGTATATATAATTTCTATCTGTTGAATATTGTATTCTAAGTGGATTAGGGCAGTAAGCTTTACTTTCCATTCATGAATCGAAATAATTCAGAGGAAATCATTTTTAGTACCATCATTTTGAATTGAGGAACTTCCTACAACTAAATTGTTGGGTTTATGATACACAGCGGACTTCAGATCATCTCATTTTCTTTGTTTTAAGATGACTTTTGTTTGGACACTGTTACTCTCATTTTCTTTGTTTTAAGACGACTTTTGTATGGACACTGTTACTTAAGTGTTTTTATGAGATACCCTTCTCTTTCTCTCTCTTTGAAACTCTTTGATTGTAGTATTCCTCTTTATCTGTTTTCAAAGTTCACTCTGTTATAGTACTTTTCAAGTAGTTTCATCATAATTTCTGAATCAGCTAAGTCATAACTAAAAAACTTTTATTTTATAATTTTATCTTTTCTAAATTCCTTTCTATTGCCAACATTACCTTCAAAATGATATTGTATGTTGTTTCTGTCTCGTTTAGAGTTGCTGCCAAACATGAATGGCTACTTCATTTATCGTGGTCATCTCATCTTTCATTGGCTGTCTTGATAACAATTATGTTGCTACCAATGAATTTTCAGCAGCTACAAGAACTGTACTTTTATGAGGTTTTCTGCCTAGTATTAACAACTTCTGTGTTAGAAACACACTTAAAGCATGCAGGACTAGAAAATTTTGGAATGCATACATTGATTCATGTACTTGACCTAAGAAGTTGATGTCTCTGTTAGGCTTTATTCATTTCATGTTCTTTCTCTCCTATGCTTCTCTTTTAGCACTTTAAATTGCTTCCATAAGCCGACCTTTTAAATCTTTTTTCAGACTGAGTTGTATCTCTGTGCTTGAGCATGCATGTGCGTTCTTTATTTCTAGTTTGATCACATTGGTACTATTTTTTATCATGCCAGTGATTAGCTTGTCATATTTAAGCATCTCAGTCTTATATGCTTTTCTTTTGTTAGGAATGCATGTTGGCATGCTCTTTTAAAGGTGATGCATGCCTTCCCTGTTGTTTTTATTTGTTCCCTTTTTTCTTCTTTTCAAGTTGGTTGCACCTCCTTCCAACTGTTAAAATCTAATATAATGTTTGTTGCCTTGCTGGTATGTCTTGATTCTGGGCCAGTTAATTAACTAAAAGTAGCAACTTTTAGTTTTTATGAAAGATAAATGTTAGTACTCTGGTTCAGATGTAATTTTAGCTGAGACTTCATGTTTATGCAGTTATGTGTGCTGGAGCATGCATGTGCATTCTTTATTTCTAGTTTGACAACATTGGTACTATTTTTTTTATCATGCCAGTGATTAGCTTGTCATGTTTAAGTATCTCAGTCTTATATGCTTTTCTTTTGTTGGAAATGCATGTTGGCATGCTCTTTTAAAGATGATGCATGCCTTCTCTGTTGTTTTTATTTGTTTCCCTTTTTTCTTCTTTTCAAGCTGGTTGCACCTCCTTCCAACTGTTAAAATCTAATATAATGTTTGTTGCCTTGCTGGTATGTCTTGATTCTGGGCCAGTTAATTAACTAAAAGTAGCAACTTTTAGTTTTTATGAAAAATAAATATTAGTACTCTGGTTCAGACGTAATTTTAGCTCAGACAATGTTTATGCAGTTATGCAATCTTGATCTAATAAAAGTTTGATCAAGCATATCATGTCTGCTTTTAACATTATATGCAGGTTCCAACACATATGGGCCAGCAAAGAAAAAATTTATTGGGAAGGAAGGAGTGGCAAAATTAATTGATGATGCTTACAGGTTCTACTTTCTTAAAATATCATGGTCTGTGTGAAATTTGATAGATGTTCTGTTTAGCATTTAAGCATATGCATTTGGTTGGCAAAATTCATGCTTTTAATAATTTTGTTCTACTTTCTTGTAAATTTTCATTATTTGTTACTTCTTAGTGCCACAAAATGTAACAATTCCCCCCCCCCCCCCCCCCCCAATTTGTGGTCCTTTATCAGGCATTAAATAACCTATTCTGTTCCAGAAAAATGCAGATAGCTGATGCTCCGGATTTAGCAACAAAGAGACAGACTTCTTTAGATGTTTGTGGTGTGAAGCATAGAGTTGAAGCTGAAGATGTTTCATATTCAGCTGTGAAGATTTGCTGTCCTTGTGGGAGTTTATCGCATACTGATGATATGATACAGGTAATAAAAATTTAATTTACTTTTGATTTTGTTTTCTATAAATGAGGTTGCATAGCTTTGGATTTTGACCAAACGGCATGTCATCTGAGGTATAGGTGGTCACCAAGGTCCCAAGCCCAACTTCTTCTGTGTTGCTTTGCTAAACAAGATATTTTGAGGTTTTCATGCATATTAGATAGTTTTCTCTGCAATAATTGGTGATTTTTTATCATTTTGTTTTGATTTGTTGCAATGCTAGTCCCAATGTTTTGATGTGTTTACTATTTTCCTTTCAATTATATGCTTCAAATTCGTGAATGAGAATAGAGTGGTAGCTAGTGTGCAGTAAACTGGCAGATAGACATGTCCCAGTGTTGACAGTAATTTCTTTTTCTTGTCAAATATTTCTACGTGGATGCTTAATGTGAATGGATGTATGGCCTTGAATGATTTCTTACCTTGAAATGCTCTTAGGAGTTAGAATAGCTATAGATTGAAATATTGCAAGTACTAAGTCTTCAGTTAGCCCTGAAACATTGAAATTATATTATTGGCCATAGTCCTAAGTTTGTCTTTATTATTGGTATGACATGTGGACCTACTTGAGGGAAGAGAAAGGCAATGCTAAGAAATGCAAGGCAAGAAAATTGTGAAATGTCAGATGTTCTGTTGGTTTATCTTTTTGTGTATCTTGTTGGCCAAATGCCAGGGATGGAAATGCCCATATCATTACAAGGTGGTACATTCTGTGGCAGATTTCAAATCGTCCCTTTGATAGTTGTCATTAGCAGATTTATGTGGAGCTTGCTTATGATAAAACAATTTATGGGTTGGAATCAAGTTCACATTATAATCCAGTCTTTTGTTTTGGAAATTCTATTTATAATGACTGGAACATCATGCACAAGTGTTACTTTATTAAGCAAATTTGGATTGACTAGCTAACAAGCTAAAGCTTTCCAAAATCTATGCAAACTAAGGTATGGTGTGCTTAAGAGTTAGTTGAGCTTTTGGGTTCAATTTATTTTGTACTAAGCTGTGCCTAAACAATCAAGTTTACAGCCTGCTTTTGCTTAACTTGTTTGCATCCACAATATTCTTTAATTTTTTTTAACATTGTAATATCCATTTCCTGATAAATATAATTAGCTATTACTCTCTTTGATTATCTTGTAGGATAGTCTACCTTTTAAGAAATTTCTTGATGCCAGCCAACTTTGCACTAATTTCTTTTTGGCAAATGCCATTCTAAACAATTTTTGTAATTTCGTATGCTTCCTGTCTTTCCTTTTTGTTCTACATGACTTGTTTTTCTGTTTCAATGTTTTTATACCCTGCAAATGTAGTCCTGTACATCTTACAAAGATTTGTATTACTTGTATATCTTTGCAAAAATCATTTGGTACTTATTTCTAGAAATAAGATGTTTTTTTCCTACCTGACATTATTGCTATTTGAAGTGCATTGACCCAGGATGTCAAGTTCAGCAGCATGTTAGCTGTGTTATCTTTCCGGAGAAGCCTATGGAAGGCATTCCATCAGTTCCAGCTATATTTCATTGTGAAATGTGTCGCATTAATCGGGCAGATCCGTATGTTGTCTTTATTTCTTGTGTCAACTTGAATTATATATGTATCCTATAAATGAAATCGTGATTGTCTAACTTAGCACTAGCAGTATGCTACTTAACTAGTGTTTTTAGTAATTTGTTGTTGACATGAGTGTAGCGTTTGACACCAAATATAATTTTGGGTGTTTGGAAATTGGCAAGTCCAGATCTTAACATGCATGAACATGTTTGTGGTTGTGAGCGTGTACTATTTTGCTTTGCAGAGGCAAATTAAAATATCGGTTGAATTTATTGTAACATGCCCTTTTTATTTTTTTTTCCTATTTGTGAAGTGTTTCTAAATTGATGGGTGGTTTTGAGTTTGAACCTTTACCAACTGTTTCCATCTTCTCAGAATACTTCTAGCTTATAGGATATTTTAATAACTACTCTTATTTTGAATTTAAAAGGGAAAATGAGGATGAAAACATTATGATCATCAAAATTAGTGCACATTTCCCTCTGACCAGTATCGGACTTTTAAGTATGCTGATCATTGTGAATTTGAGTGACTGTAAAACACATGTATTTAGTTTTGTTTAATAAGCATGGTGATTTATGCAGTACATGCAAATTTTTTGGAGACCCTCTGGCCTCTACAAAAGATAGCTAGTAATGTTGGAATCTTATGGAATTTAACTAGATATGGTTATAAAGTATGTAATACAAATACATCTTTGAATATTTTACTGGGGCATATCTTTTAATGAATTATTACTGCTTAATTATCAAAATGAGATTGTACATTCTGTGCCGTTGAAGAAGTCAGACTAAGAAGAATAATAAAATGCTCTTTCATTTTGTTTTTTGGTGGTGAGCAATATGGGTCCAAATTCAATTACAAATGCTGGTGAACATGTTTCTTTCTTTAAACTACTCAAGCAAATCAAAATAATTACTTATCATTTATGGTAACACTGACTATCATGGCTCACTTTACTGTGTTCGTTAATCCATGTGGTATGTTTGCTTTGCTAAAACTTAGGAACCATATAGGTGTACTCTTGACTTACTGGATCTATTTGATTGTGGTGCATGCAACCCTTTTTTGTTTTCTTGGAAATTCTAGTGGTCAATATATATGAATGTGTTTCACGTTCTAAGATCATTTTCTCCTTTTAATATAATATATTATGAAGAAAGAGCTTCTAGCTAACACTTTTTTTTATCTACAGGTTTTATATTACTGTGGCGCATTTGATATCCCCTGTGAAGTTAATAGCTGGAAATATTCCATCTGATGGGTTAGTTCATTTTCAGTTCTCTCTGTCCTGTAAGGAAATTTTATCTGTCAACTTGAAATCTCTATGTCCAGAAGATTTTACTCAAAGTCACTGGCAATTTTTTTGGAGTTGCTGATGAAAAGCATTGGGTGTATACTCAAATCAACCATTTTTTCAAGGAACTGAGGAGACTAGTTTTCATACCCTTTTTTTTTTGTCTTAGAATGTTTATCCAGTTTTGGCTTTAGATGTTATGTTGTTGAATTCATCTGCTTTTATAAATTCTTGTACTTTAATTCATTTTCAATATTATTCAGGACAAATCCCCTACTAAACGTGGAAAAGACATTTCAACTGACAAGGGCAGATAGTGATTTATTACAGAAATCTGAATATGATATTCAGGTTAATTCAACATCAAATAACATGCCATGTGTCAGCTTAGGCTCATAATAACATGTTATCCTATTTTGAAGGTCACCACTGCATGGATTATTCATACTTGATATGTTATCTTCTTTCAGGCTTGGTGTGTTCTTCTCAATGATAATGTTTCATTTAGGATGCAATGGCCACAACATGCAGATTTACATGTTAATGGTATGCTATTTGGCTTCCTTAACTTTTTTCTCTTGTATCTACAGTTGCTGCATTTTCATCTTTTTTCCATTGTCTTTAGTACTTTGGCTTAGTTTCCTGGCTATGTAGGGATTTTCCTAGGGGTTTATGTTGGGTCAAACTTCAGTGGGCCTTTGGGCTAGTTTAGATATGTAATTAAAATACGATATATAACCACCAGCCAAATTCTGTTTGAACAAATTGAACCTGTATAGAAAAAGTGAAATTTACTGAATGTTAAAGCTATAGATTCTTTTTTTTGCATGCGTTTCTTTGTGTGTTTGTATGTGTGCATGCTAAATCAAGAAAAGATAAAAATGGTAAATCTGGAAAATATTCAAATATGTTAAAAGGGAAATCATACAAGTTATGTTATTATCAAGTTAAGGTATAAAAATAAAAGATGTGTCTGCTACCATATCTTTGGGCTTGAGTCATATTTCTGGAGAACCATTATGTGGGTTGCATGTATCTTGTGTAAGAAGACATTTAGAACGTACTGTTTCTGGTTAACTGTATCCAGGCACAATGTTTTCAAGATATTTGTCCTGCAGGGTGGTCAGGTCCATGTTTCAAGGGACTGTTTTCCAGTGGGTCTTTTATCCTTGTTGATGAAGTTACTCACTCTATCATGATTTTTTTCCTTCAATACTGTTACAGGCTTTGCAGTAAGAACTCTTAACAGACCTGGTTCACAATTATTAGGTGCTAATGGTCGTGATGATGGTGCACTGGTGATTTTTCTCACCTTCTCTTGCTTTTATAATTTTATTTGTGTTAAAATCTTGATGCAATGACACTTTATATATGCGTGTTTTCTCCTGGTAGTTTTATTTATTTATTTATGTCCTCAATTTTTAATTTAATTTTTTCATTCTTTAGTTAAAACTTTTATTTGATTTAACGTTTTGTTTTGTTCCCAGATCAAATTGTACATTGGGGAGGAGATTAATAAAATTTCTTTATCGGCATGTGATGCTCGCTTTTTCTGTTTTGGAGTCAGACTTGTACAGCGGCGTACAATAGAACAGGTATCCTCACCAGTCTTATGAGTTTTGTCTATTTCATACAGTTTGCAGTAATTAATATTTTAACCATAGCACAAATTATATTAAGTTGTTAATTAGGATATTGCCAATTAGTTCATTTTGGATAATAGTTGGTGTGTCAGTCTCTATACTTTTTGCCATTTGCTTATTGTTCTTCCATATGGTTCTCCTGAAAACGATGGCTTCTTGGAGAAGTGGCCATCAGATTTAATGTAAAAAGGAACCAGCAAAAGAAAGCTATTGATTGTGCTCTTTTGCATGCTTCTTGAAGTTATTATGTGTCATTGCCATCAATTTCTCTTGGTTTGTTTAGACTTTAGTTTCATTTGCTTCTCATTTGATGCTTTCTTTTTTTGTCTTTGATCTCATTGTCTGATTAAATGTGAAGGTTCTTGGTTTGATTCCTAAAGAAGCAGATGGTGAACCCTTCAAAGATGCACTAGCCCGTGTTTGTCGTTGCATTGGTGGTGGGATGCCTGCTGCAAATGAAGATAGTGATAGTGATTTAGAAGTCATTGCAGATACAATTACAGTTAATCTTCGCTGTCCTGTAAGTGATTGCTTTTTTCGTAATAGATATTAATTCTGCGATGTGATTTTTCTTGTTATTCTACTTGATTGGTGTTTAGTTATGCCTGAAGGCGAAGTACCTCATTGAATAGTTAATTGAATGACTGGGTATCATTGTTGGTCGAACCGCCATCACTATTCTGGAGATTCTAGACTGTTGAAGTAACTTCCATGTGCATGTGTGGTTCTTTATAGAAAACATTTGGGTTTATTAAGAACGTGGCATCGAATTTCATCATATCTCCTTTATATCATTAATTTGAATTTATCATGTAGGATTCAGATGCAGATGTTACTCCCTTGCTACATGTCAATAAGGTGGCTGTTTCACTAGACAGATATTGTTTGTTTAACCAAGACTTGGGAAATTTTTAATTACAAGGATAATCTCTTAAGGGGGCATTTGCTTGGGGGGAATATGAGATTTTCCCTCGCAATGTTGCTGTTGGATATTCAAATTCCCACGTTTGGTTTGGGGGATTAGATTCCTGAGGTAATCTTAGATTCTTAATAGTATCCAAAGTCTCAGAATTAGAAACCATATCTTCCTGTGGTTTTTTAAGATTTCGGGAGGAAAGCGATTTTTGTCCCACATTTGACCTTTAATCAAAATATTTTCTTTCTATTTTATTCCCATGAAAATCAACATATGAAAATTAAGTAATTGTGTATTGCTTTTGTTTTAAAATTTTTTTTAATTGAGTACCTTTTTTTTATTTTCTTACTCAAATACTGCATTTGTAGGCTCTTTTTTTTAATTGTGATTATTTATTGCGTTTCTTTGAATAAAAATGCTATATTTGACTTGATGGCTTTTGATTTGATGAGCATTTATTATGGGTATGGCAATTATTGTGTTTCTTTGAAGCAGTATTTGGCATTTAATTTTTACTTGATAGCTTTGGATTTAATGAGCATTTATTTTCTTTGAACAAAAAAGCATCATTTGGCATTTAACTTTTTGTTCTGCGTGACTTGATAGCTGTTGATTTAATGAACATTTATTATGGGTATGGAAATTACTGCATTCCTTTGGCAGTATTTAGAATTTAAGTTTTTTTATTTGTTTGACTTGATGTCTTTTGATTTAATGAGCATTTATTATGGGTTTGTCGATTATTGTGTTTCTTTAAAGCTAAATGCAGTAATTGTTCATTGCATTTGTTCAATTACTGCATTTCCTGCATTTCTTGGATGAAATTAACGCAATAATTGATGATTAATTTTTTTTTTTTTTTTTTTTTATAATTGGCCACTTGAATACTGCGTTTCCTGTGTTTCTTGGATGAAATTAATGCAGTAATTGATGTATTGTTGTGTTTATTATGTAATGAAGGACATTATAGTAAAAATACAAGATTAAGTAATCTCAAATTCCCCCAACCAACCATAGGAATCTAAAAATGGGATGCCATGAAAAATCACACTTCCCCCGGAATCACACTTTCTCGGGTATCATATTTTCTTCCGGAATCTGAAATTTGCAAACCAAACGCCCCCTTAGTGTTATTTGATTTTTGGGTCCTATGTATTTTACCAGCCAAGCATATTGTCTAGTTTGAAGAGTGTTTCTTCTTCTTCTTCTTCTTTTTTCTTTTTTAATTTTTTTTATTTTGTCCTTGTTTGCTATTATCCTAAAGGGGACTATGAAGTTGTAATAGAGTTTCATTATGAACTTCTATTCCTAAAACAAGGGGCACTTGCAAGGGTGATAACCCATGAGTTATGGAGCTTTAATGTCCATGACGAGGGAATTGCACAAATATTAGGTTTGCTGCACCCTAATGTCCCAGGTTTGCTGCATCCTAACAGAAGCCCTCACACTTCCCTTGTACCCCTTGTATGTTACTCAGGCTCTATGCAAATGTCAGTTTAGTGCCTTACAGTGTTTTGTCATTTTGTACGCATTATGTTATCATCTTTGATGTTTGTTTAGCTTTGTTTAGTTTATATTGTCATCATTATGTAATATTTGGTTGATGGCATATTGCTGTCATGATTGACGCTGAGCTGTATTTCTATTTCCAGACTTTGTTAATTTAACTGCTAACTTGATGTCTTCATATCTACTTGTAACTGTCAGATGAGTGGCTCCAGAATAAAGGTCGCTGGCAGATTTAAACCTTGTGTTCACATGGGATGTTTTGATCTCAAAACTTTTGTGGAGCTGAACCAGCGCTCAAGGAAGGCAAGTTATCATAATATTTATGATTTGTCCCGTTTTGAGTTTTCATAGGCATAGATATGAGCAAGAGGTTTTTTATGCTTGCAGTGGCAGTGTCCCATCTGTCTCAAGAACTATTCTCTGGAAGATATCATTATTGACCCTTATTTCAATCGAATCACAACTATGGTAGTGCTTTCTCTTTGTATCTTAATCTATTTAGTGTGAAAATTATATAAGAACAAATGCAGTTTAATTCAATTTTTCTTAACCCCCCCACCTCAACGAAAGTACTAACAAAAAAAATAAAATCTCATGTGACAGATGCAGCACTGTGGAGAGGATGTAACTGACATTGAGGTGAAGCCTGATGGTTCTTGGACTGTTAAGATCAAAGGTGACCTTAGCGATCTTCAAAAATGGCATTTACCTGATGGTTCACTCTATGTAGCTTCAAATGAAGATATATCCAAGTCAGAGGCCTTGAGGAAGATCAATAAGGAAGAAAAATCAGGACATACTAATTCTGAGATTGGGACAAAAGGAGGAATGTTTGAAGCAAGGAAAAACCAGCATCTTCCCTTGTTAAATCCCAAAGAGGAAGATTTTGAAAACTATAGTCAGATGGTCATAACAATGAGCAGTAGTGCCAGTGGAGGTGGTAGAGATGATGAAGACTCGAGTATTAATCAGGATTGTGGAAGATATAATAATATCTCTGCCAATAATGGCAATGAGATCAATTCCATTCGTCGTAATTTTGATTCAATTCTTAGAACTGAAAATCAAAGTCATGGACCAATAGGGGAGCCAAACATCATTATTCTCAGTGATTCAGAAGAAGAGAATGTCAATTTGGTTTCTTCTCTTACAGATTACAAATCTTGTCTACTGAATGATAGTGGGGTATTGTCTGTCCCTCCTGCAATCGAACACTCATATCTGGAAAACTCCATTCCTGATTCTGGCATAAGTTCTTGTTTGGATCTCTTTAATGGCAGTGGCAGAGATGTTGGAATGTCAGACTGGCCATATTCTTCTACCCAAGTAGGTTCAGGGTTCCAATTGTTTGGTGAAGATTCTGATGTCTCAGATGTTCTTATTGATTTGGAGCATTCCGTGGTCACATGCTCTGCACCAATGAACGGTTACACATTAGCTTCAAGGTCAACCATGAACTCTGGCGTACAGGTTCCTGATTCTTCTATTTGCAATGCCAATATTGATGAAGACCTCGTTGATAATCCCTTTGTATTTGTTAATGAGGACCCCTCTCTACAAAATTTCCTTCCTACTCAGCCGGCTGGAACCTTGGAAGAATCTGATATAGGACGCCATCCCCCCATATCAAATGGCTCCCATACTGAAGATTGGATTTCTCTTAGGCTTGGCAGCAATGGCGACAATATTTGCAGTGGTGTTGATACTATTGCTCAGTCTGCTGTTTCAAAGGGGCTGGATTCGATAAATGACTGTAGGCCAAATGAAGGTACAAATGTCTAATTGTTGCTGTATTTTCTCTCAAAAGTGGTTATACTACTCATACATTTCATCTTATTTTTGTTTCACACAATATTTTCTGCATGTCATATAGGATCACCGACTAGTCAGGCTAACTATCAAACATATGCATTACTTTGCAGGGAGGAAACCGTTAAATGGCCCTTTCTCATTTCCTCGCCAACCAAGGTCTGTCAGGCGACGGGTTTACTCAATAGATTCAGACTCAAATTAGATGGAATCAAAACTTTAAGGATTCATTGAGTAATTCATTGATATCTACTTCTATCCTATCGCAAACTGAGATAATGATGGTGGTCCTGTCTATCACAATTATTCACTTGTCGAAGGAGAAACAAGCATTTTCGTTTTGAGTTACTGTTGAATCCTACTGATTGTCTTGTTAGTTGAAATGGCTTTCATCTACGTTGTGCTTTCATTGGCAGCTGTGTAACAGACCCGACAAACGGTGAGCCCTAATGGTTCATTGATGTTTATAGTCTCCTCAAAAGATACCACAGTATGAGTAATCTGTATATAAGTAATACGATTCAAAAATTTCAAATCAATCTATGTTTTCATAATAATGGTGAAAAATAACTTATTCAACTAGTTATGCCAATGAATCAAAGCTCCATCTTTCAGTTGGATTGTTATCATTTCAGCTTTTAAAAGACATCATTTTGGATGGTAAACCAAATTAAGCAGAGAAAATTTTTTGGTGATTCGTAAACTATTTGTTGACTTTTTTATTTTTTAAACCTTCTAATGTTTGATATATGAGCAAGTGAGTAGACCTGATTATTTGTGTATTTTTGTTATGTAAAATATTGAAATTTGTGTATTTGGATTGTATTTTACACGAAAATTATTGTTACAATATATGTTGATATGAAAATATAAAATATATTTTTTTAATTTTGTTAAATTTATAAATAATCGTTGTTAAAATTTTAAGTTGTAATCATTTTCATATCTTATTTTGGTATCGTGTTTTTGTTGTATCATCGGATTTTGCTTCAAATTGTCATATACATATATATATATATATATATAATATATATTAAAAGTTTAAAAAGTTAATAGATATTTGAGAGAATATTATCTTTGACTGGATTACATCAATAGCATTCTTTGATGCTTTTTATGTTTAAGGTTGTATGCATCCGTACGAGTGATGAATAGGGATAACAACGGGTCGGGTTGAGATAAGTTTTTGTTTGCTTCTAATCCGATCTAATTTTACACTTGTCAAACTCGAATCCAATCTGACTCGACTTAAAATTTTTTATTTTTTTTAATATCTAAATCCGAATTCGATTCGATATTATATAAATCGTATTTAATTCGATTCGAAATTAATAAAATATTATTTTTTTAAAATATAAATATTTAAATATATAATTATATAAATATATATAAATAAAAAATTAATTTAAAAACTATTTTTATATAATATTTAATCGAGTCGAATTTATTTAAAATTTAAACTCGATTCGATTCGATTTTTTTTTTTAAATTAATTTTATAAAATCGAATCAGATCGAAACTTATTGAGAACAAATTAGATTACCCACCTTAGTTATGACCTAACCATAAACCACCCTCTTCTCACCCTCTTAGAGAAAAGAAACAAAAAAAGAGAGAAGAAATGGAACCCGACAAATCACAGGTGCTTGAAGCCATTAAAGTTAAGATATTAAATTGTGAAATTTTTTATAGGTACTTAATCGTGAAAAGTGATCGAGGTTTAATTTACACGTTAACTTTTTTTTTTTTTTTTTGTTATGCATATAATAGACATGTTTTGTGTGCAGTTTACGGTGAATGTTGCAGTAAACAGGGAGGAGGATTAGATACGTGTCTGGGTGTATATTGATAAAAAATTATTTTTAGATTTTTAACTCAAACGAGGGTAGGAAAATGCAATTTATTACTTGAAATATTAAAATTTATATATTCATATTTGTATATTCGTATATTCAAAAGTCATTGAACCTCTGTATAGAGAAGTTTTTTTAAATTTTTAAAAATTGTTGAGTCTCTGTTTAAATGAGTTTTTTAAAATTTTTAAAAGTTATTGAGCTTCTGCTTGGAGAAACCTTATAAATTTTTAAAAATATTGTTAAACTTCTGGAGCCTTAAAAAAAAAAAAAGAGATTTTATGATCAATGTTTTTTCTTTCCGAACAAAATGATTGTTTGTTTGTTTGTCTTATTCCTGATTCTCATAAATAAACAAAGAGGGGTAGCTGTAAATATCATTTTGTTTTTTTTGTTATTATTATTATTATTTTTCTTTCTTCTTTCTTTCTTTCCTTCTTTCTTTTTCCTTTTTCTTCTTTCCTTATCCGGTTCAGTTTGACAACTATGAGTGCATTAAATGCATCATTACCAAAAGTCCAAAATCACGGTTGACCACCATCGGCAGCCGCCTGACATATTGCCTAACTTGACAATGTGAATTTTGGGTTAAAAATATGAGATTTGAATCTCAAAAAATTTGAGATTTAAATCTTAAAAAGCTCTATAAATAGAGCTTGTTACTTGCAAAACGAGTGGAGGATCGATTAAAAAAGAACGAGGTTGAAAAAAAAACCTCGAAACCCTACCAAAAACAAAAAAAAAAGTTTGCCAGATTCGAAAAAAAAAATTTTTTTGTCAAAAAAAAATCTAAAGCAAACCAAACACATACAAACACAAAAACAACAGCATCTGGAAATGAGGATCACAGTGCCAGCAAAAAAAAAATAACAAAAAAAATTTGTGACTGAAACTTCTAAGCTAGATCTACGTTGTTTGGGACATTTTCAGGTAAAACGGAGGTTGAATCTGATTTTAAAAGGTTGAGAGGAACATTTTGATCTTTTTTGAGATTTTTCGATCATCGACAACAACGGCCCGGTGACCAACGATCGACAGTGGTGATGGCGGTGATGACCACTGGCCGACCCCATTGGGTTTTGGTCTGAAAAGGGAGATGGGATAGGTTTTTTTTTTCTGAAAGAAGAGAGAATGACCAAAAAAATAATTTCAGGACCTTTTATATAAACTATCAAAACTAAAACGATGTCGTTTCAATAAAGGCTCAAAACGACGTCGTTTTAAGCACCCAGGATTCGTGCGTCAACCCATCGACCCAAACTGGGGTTTGTGCAACCGAACCAACGACCTGACTTATCCTCAGACCTAGACTGATCCATCTGAACAGACCTAGATCGAGTCGGACCGTCCCCGAACCGTCAGACCAAATCAGATCGGATTGAGTAGCTGATCCGATCAAACCCACATTAACTAGATCGTTGATTGGTCTTGTTTAGGTAACAAAAATTTTTTTTATATATTATTTTATTAGTATTAATGCAAATTAAAATATTTATATTTGTTAGATTAAATGATGAAATATGTAGTTAATTTTTTTTTATAATTTAATTAATTTTTAAAATAAACTTTAAAAATAAAAAACAAACTTAATAATAATAATAAAAAAATAAAAATGTAAGAAAAAATTTTTTTTATCTGATGATGAGATTCAAAGGTACTCTGAGTAGTGATGCTTACGAAATCTCTAGATGAAAAGATTTTTTAAAATACTACCAGTGTATTAGAATATTTATAAAAAGTTTTCAATACAATAAAATTTTTCTTTTTGTTAATAACAAAATAAAAATTAATTAATTTATTAAAAAAAAATATAAATAAAAAAAAATTTTATCCAATGATGGGATTCTAAAAGTATCGAGTAGTGATGCTTTACGAAATTTTTAGATGAGAAGATTTTTTAAAAATATTACCAGTGTATTAGAATATTTATATAAAAACTTTAATATAATAAAAATTCATTTTTCCTTTAAAAATTTAAATTAAAAAATCAAATAAAACAATTAATAAAATTTCTAAAAAAGAGAATAAAATATGTGCATCAAAATAGTAACATTCTGCATTGTATGCACGACATAATTTTTTACAAAAAATAAATTTAAGCCTCAAAAGATGGGACTCTAAGGTATTCCGAGAAGCGATGTCTAAGAAATATTTAGGTGAAAAAAAGTTCTTCTAATGTTACCAACGTATTGAAACATTTTAAAAATTATTTCAATAAAAATATTCTAATTTATTTTTCTTGAATAAAAATGAAACAATAAATAAAAAATAAAAAATAATTTCCAATAAATAAAAAAAATTAAGAAAATTATTTTTCAAACATCGAAAATGAGATTATTTTTTTATCAAAATCAAAGGATAACACGTAGTTAATTGGTACCGTTTTAAATGGACATTGTGGGGGTGCTAATCATTTTTCACACGTAACCGACTTTCGAACTCAGACTGTTGCGTAGACCTTAAAATTATCCTTTTAATAAATTTTAATTAATTTTAAGATTTCATTAAAAAGATATGTTTTAATAGGTGATCAATCGCACCTAGTTAAAAAAAGATTGGTGGCGACTCTGTTATTTTTTATTTTGTTTTCAAATTCTTCGGAAGGACACAAAATCGTTACAATAGCTTGGGGTCATACCATTTGAAAAATGAAGATTTCAATGGTTCAACAATAATAGGAGCAAGTAAATATTTCTCAACAAGTCTATGATACAAATCTGTGTATATCATGGGAATGGGGTCGAAAGTGGGTTTTTCTTTGGTATGTCTTAGGGCATTTGGACATTATTTAGATTAGGCCTCCATTCTGGTCTGACAGATGTAGCAGAACGGTTGTAAGAATAGGTGGGTGTCCGAAAAGATTGTTGAAACTGAGGTGGATAAGCTGGTTGTGGTAATGGCTGATATGGATGAGGAGTGGATGTAATATTATTTATGGAAGGGTAATGGGTTTGGTAGACTAGTGTAGGGTAGGACGTGAAATCTCTGAACTATTGCCCCATATAGTTCATCGCTTGAGCTTTATTCTCTTTCTTTTTGGGAACTCCACCTTTCTTTGCTCCACTCGTTTCTCCTGTGTCAAGTTTGCCATTCTTTATGGTATTTTTAATAATCTCACCCGATATCACCATATCTGTAAAGTTTTTGGTTGCATTGCCTATCAATATCTTATAGTACTATGCTTTCAAAGTGTTCACAAATAAGACAATTGTCTCTTTTTCGGTGAGAGAAAGTTGAACTTATGCAGTCACATCTCTCTATTTCTGTGCATACTCTTTAAAATTTTTTGTTACCTTTTTCTCTATACTTTGTAGAGATAGACGGTCTAAAACCATATCCGTGACATGTCGATATTGTGTAAGAAATGCCCTTATGAGCTCTTGTCAGGAATGAATACGAGTTTTATCTAGTTAGACATACCATCTAGTTACAGATCCGGTAAGGTTATCCTGAAATACGTGCATCAATAACTTCTCATCATAAGTATGTGCTGTCATCTTATGATAATACATGGTAATATAGGTTATCGGGCATTTTGTGTCATCATATTTTTTAAATTCAAGGACCTTGAATTTATGTGGAATAACCACGTCTAGGATTAAACAAAGGTCGGTTACATTCATGGAGCCATAAAAATTCATTCCCTTTATGAACCTAAGTCTTTCTTCTAATACTT